GCCTAAGATGGACTTAGCAGCAATCTTCCATTGTAAAGCTCAGTGCAGACAACTCACCAGTATGCAATTTCTTCCCTTGGCATGTGCTCGCAGCCATTGATTCGATGCCTTAAGGAGACCACTGGACGGCGATCTGCATGGGTCTGAAGGCGTTTCTCTGGCCTGCAGAAACAATCTGATCGTGAACACACTTGGCATTGACAAACTGTCCCAATATGCTCACTTCCCATACTTGCATTTGCCCGCTTTTGCCTTCTTAAACAGTGCTTATGAACTTTGAATTCATTGTCGCCTGTCTGATACATGGCAACCTGCATACTGCATTCAGGCACAACTTGCCCCTGACTGTTTTGGTGGCGTGTGTTGACATGTTATGTACAATGGATGATGTGCCCTCTGGGCAGGTGGCTGTGCACTATGAAAATGTTTTGCAAAGGCCTGCCTGAAAATGCAAGCCTATGGAAATCAAGTGAAACTGGGATCTGTCACCAAGAGTGACAATTAGACTCTGAGGAGGGCATGAACACATGTGCAGGAAGTTGCCCTTCCCATGGCCATTGTCACTCTTCTTCAAATGTTTGATGACAGCAAAGAGATGCTTGAAGGTGATGAGGCGAGCGAAGATCTCAGCATCGAGATACGAGCTCTCCTTCACGGTTTGTGTCGAAAGGTGGGCCAACGAAGAGTATGTGGTTCCTGGTGATGTGATGGATAGAAAAAATGTAGTCAGAGACGGGGGGTGGGATGTGGGCAACATTTTTTTTTCCAAGAACACACATTCCTTAGCAAGGAAAGGAGGTATCGTCCAGGAACTCGTCTCAATATGCAACAGTGTGGGATGCTAGTCAATTTCTACATGGGGCAGGAATCTTTGCCTTCACAGGGCACACAACTATGTGAGACTAACTGACTGATGAATGGTGCGATATTTTAATAGCTGCTAGACTGCACAATTGCGCTGCTGGACGAAAGTCATCAATGGCAGCAGCAGCCTGTGATGACTTGTCTTTGCACGTCAGTCAGATTGCCAGATGTGCTGATAATGCAGACACCAAAGGCTGAGGCTTCTGCTGCTCACTAGATGCTTTATAACGACCTCAAACTTGCGGCACTGGTGATAGTTTCCAGGGGATTCGAGTTTCTTCCTTTTTGGTGAATCCATGTACAAGAGCAATGATGTGTCCAGAAACATTGGCGCACGTAAAAACCTGAAAAGTGCAGTACACTGCCCCGGTACGCTGTTGTTGGACTTGGTGTGCACAAGTCACTGTAATATTGCATTGTTTCTGCATGAGCCACCTGCCGCTGGCACTGTGGCTACCCTGACTGCAGTGTTTTGCTTGCTTGTGACAGAGGATTCAGTTCTGCTTTTCTTTTTATATTTTTTTGCAAGATTCGACAGAACATTCTGTGCTGGTCAGGTGCCTCCCTCACAGCGGGGATTTTCTTTGGCACAAGCTATGGCTCTGGCAGTGGCAGAATGCGATGGGGACGTCACTGCACACCTGCCACAGATCGTGGTTTCATTTGTCACAGGCAGTCTCATGGTGCGTGGGACATCCTTTGCCACGAGTGAGGCCCTTCTTGAGATACCTCAGAAATTTATTTTCAACCCAATATTGTGTTAATGGGGCGCAAAGTTGTGTGAATCTATGCACCATCATGAGTCTGCGCTGACAGTGTCTATTTGTAGACGTGCCATCACCTGATTGACAAGTGCACGGTGCGCAAGCGTGAAAGCTGGTACCGTGCTTTGAATTGCTGCCCCAGTTGTTTCTTATTGCGCTTGGGGAAGCATCTGACTCTTGAGGACTCCAGGGTTAGCAGGCAACGACAATGGTGTAGGTGTGTCCCAAATTCGCCAAGTATGATGCATGGCGTGTCCTTGCGTCTACAGCAATGTTTTGTGAGGATAATCAGCTCAATTCCTTGAGAAGCGGCATTGTTAATTGTCACTGCAATGGATCGTACATAGGGGACTCATAGGCAACATAGGGGACTCTGAATTTATGCACGTTGTGTCCAGCTCCTGTCTGCTTCCAACAACCAAGCATTCCAGGAAAATGGAGTCCCATGCAATTGTGCACCCTCTGGGGGCGAGTTGATTTTGAAGGAGTGCCTCAAGCAGCTGGCTGCATTGAAAGACTGTGAATCCATCAACGAGCAGAATCAATTTTCCATCCAGAATGCAGAGGGTGGATTGCAGCTGTTGCTGCAGGGCTTGAAACGTTTCATGGTTCCTGGCCATTACATTAAGGTAAGTTCATGCTGTCTGTTCTTGCATAGTCAACAATGTGCCAGGGCTATGCTTGCCATGTTGGATGCTGTTCATTGTGCGTCCAGCCATTCATAGCACGCCACCTACCCTTTGATTGAGTGCAGTGAGATGCTGGTATTGCTTGAGTTGTTTTGTGGTCATCAGGCTCTGAGCCACAGTTCTCTTTTGACAGAAGGCCAGCGTGGCGTATTGATCATCAATATTGGAATTCTGTCAAGGGAAAACGGAAAGATGATTCATCCTACAAGGCCCCAACTGGTGAAAGAATTACCTTCTGTCAGGCCCAAGAGCTGAAAGTTGTGGCGCATTTGTGTGCCCACATTCTGTGAAGAGGCTCACTTGTTACTAGATTACTGTTGAAGTGTCGCAACAGTGTGCACTGGCTGGCAAATGCTGTTCATCTTAAAGCGCCGTGTTGGTTGTTGTGCAGTCTCTGGCCGAATTTCTGGAACATCCAAAGGAACGCATTGCCAGGCATGTGTTTAAATTGCTCACAGACAAGCTGAGGGACATGAAGGATGAGCTGCTAGCAGTGGTAGGCTGATGCACCGCAGCAGTTTGTTCATGCCCATTGCAATGCTGGTCACCGCTCTCCACAAATAATGGTGCCCAGGTCACTGTTGTTCTGATGATGACAGTGTGTAGGTGGTGAAGACATACGATGCATGTGCAATGCATACACAACAGGCAAAATCAACATGTATACAAATGCTGTAATTGTATGCCCAAATGATAGTTTCTTTCAAATTGCACAAATTACATTGCAGAACAAATCTTGCAAATGATGATATGTCACAAGCATTGTGTGATAAAGACAGCGCAGAGTGCCAAACAGCTTTGAGACCTCACTGCTGACAGTGGACGTGTGTCCCACAGCCTTCCGAAGCCAGTCATGCACTGGAAGGAATGGCAGAGCCCGTACTGCGTGTGTGCGAACCACTCTGTGCCGTCTTATCATCGGAAGCCTCGGAACTTCATGGCCTGACTCGCCAGAATGGCTTTGTAGTGCTCCAGCTGCTCGTCCGTTTGTACGGTGCCACTCATCCTAGCACCTTCCTTCCCCTGCTTGCCGCCCTGCCGAGGCACGTCCGTGATAGGAACTCTGCTGTGAGGGGGAGCGCGATGGCCACAATGGCTGCCATGGTGAAGCAGCTGAAAGAAAATGCAGTGCCTTGTTTGCCAGAGGTATGCAGGCATGTTTTGGTTCTTGTTGTGCACATTCCAATAGTGCTGATCCTGTCAAGGCTACTGCCAGAGCGAAAGCTTGGGCACTGTGACAGGTTCGACAGTGTCTTCTTGCATCGTGCGAAGGTTTTGGTGTTCCACGAGTCTTTTAGAACATCCTCTGCATTCGATTCGGGGCGCTGCCATTGCAAGCAACTGCGTTGAAAATGAGTCACCACAAGTCACCAAGTGCCCTGATGCTTTTGCTCTGCTGCCTTGTGCATAGCGGAGAGGGTTCATAGGTGTTAAATTGTTGACAATTTTCCACCGCGGAGTGCCAGATAAAAATGTACCATCTTAGTTCGCAGTGTACTTCTTTTTGCATCCGTGGCTTGCGTGAGTCCAACGAAACTGAGAAACATTGTTGTTCATTCACCAGCTTGGTCCGGCTGTTTTGGAGTCGTTGGAATCTGTGGTGACAGCTGCATCGATACCTGCTGGCAAAAGGAGAGCCCAAAACAGCCCTGAAGCGCAACCTGAAAAGGCACACCGGAAAAAGCGACGAAGGCAGAGCGAGCCACAAGACCAGCCGGAAGCTGTTCCACCCAAACCAACAGAAGAGTCCCGGCAGGGCGGCGCAGCTGGAACTTCTCAACAAACATCCCAGCTGGAAGGCAGCACAGCCATCGAAGTGGGCGGGGGCCTGGCAGTAATTTTGGCCCTCTCAGATCACCTTGGTGGCTTTGTCAGCCCGTACATTGAGCGCATCATCGGCTTGGCTCTGCACCCCCAGGTGTGTTGCATTTCGCTGATGCCTGGTGAATCATGTAGCCCCAAAGCAACGTGCGTGTGGTTGTTATTGCTGTGCACGTTAGTTGTCTGTGTGGAGTTCGGTTGGGCACTCCTAGGTATCCCAGAATGGACGATTGTGACCAGAATAATCCAACACTCGTTGAATTTGCGATCATCCCGCCGGTCTCCACGTTGCCTTGGAATGACACTGACGAAGGCAGGCAGGGTGAAGGGCTGGCGGCCCCTGACTGGGGACCGTGGGCTCGAGTACACGGCATTGGTTTACAGCACAGCAAAGGGACAACAGGAATTCTGGACCTTACATGCAGTGCGTTCGTCAATATCCTCAATGCAGCTCCTCATCACTTCTTCATCCGTCCAGCTGTTAATAATGCTCGATCAGTTCTGGGTACAACAGTACACATCGCGAATTGGCTATTCAGAGATCCATCCAGATGTTCACAGCCCGGTCTCCAACCCCCCGAGCGTTGATCTCCCGGGGAAGTTGTCAGGCAGCTCTGGCATGGTACTTAGGACAGTCGCCTTGATGGATGCAGTCGACTATTTTGCCAGCGGCTCACCAAGCCTGCTTTCGGTCCCCCAGGTCCAGCACTGCGAGGAGCCCACCTGCGCCCTCGTGGCGTCCAAGCTGTGCTCCAGCCTGGCCGCCCACGTGCCCGCGCGCCTCCTCAGCCGGCCGCTGTTCTCTCACCTCGACGCCGCCGTCGCCAGCGGCGGGCCCAGGCCCGTCGTCGCCCTCCTGGAGATGGCCGGCGCGATGGCGGCCCACATGGACGCCGGCGCCGTGGCCACCCACCACGAGCGCGTCTTCGAGTTCCTGCTGAGCGCCCTGGGCCTGCGGGAGAGGGCCCCGTGGCCCATGGCGCAGACGGCGGCCGTCGAATCCGCCTGCGTGTCGGCGTTCCTATCGCTCGTCATGAAGCTCAGTGAGCGGCAGTTCAGGCCACTGTTCTCGAGGCTGCTGGAGTGGTCGGGCAGGAGCGGGGTCGGCGCGGTGCCCGAGGGCCGGCGCGCCGCGTTCTACCGCCTGGTGGCAGCCCTGGCGCAGCGGCTGCGGTCCATGTTCGCGCCGTACTTCAGGCACGTGCTGCCCGATGCGGTCGAAATCCTCTCCCGGCACAAGCCCCCGACTGAGAAGAAGGTCAAGAAGCGGCGCAAGGCGGGCGCGGAGGAGCCGCCCCTGGCCGAGCGGCAGACGGCCTACCTGCTGGTGTTGGAAGTTGTGAGATGCATACACCGGTGTTGCCAGTACGACAACGTGGGCCTTATGGACCAAGATCGGTTTGAGGCCGTGTTCCCCGGCGTGGTGTGCCAGTTGCGCGGGCCGGAGCCCGAGCGGGAGGTGCTGGAGGGCCTCGGCGAGGGGCTGGAGCCGGAGCTGGAGGGCGGCCTGGCGGCTGCGCGGGAGGAGGGCGCGGAGACGCTGGGCGTCGCGGTGGTTGGGTGCCTGGCGCAGATGGCGGTCGTGGGCGGGTCGGACGCCATGTGGAAGCCGCTGAACCGCAAGGTGGGCGTGTGCACTGCCGAGGACGGGCGGCTGCTCTGAGTCGAGCGCTTTTCGTGTCGCGCTCGGGACCTTGTGCTTTGTCCTCCTTGTGGTTTGGTCTCGACTATTCTGGCAGCAGTGTTTCCTGGAACTGAAGTAGTTCAGTACGTTATCGGTGCATTTGTTGACTCAGGAGCTGGCTAATGACCAACCCGTGTAGCCATTGCCTCGTAAACTTCCTTCCTGCGTTTTATGAAACATACCTTGCGTGAATCGCACGTGACCCATGTAGCACTTGCCACATTGAACTTGAACAGGAGCTGCATGTTCAGCACAACTACAACATTTCGCGATTTTGTACAGTGGTACCGCTTCTTGTCGGGATTGGCTCTGAATTTCGTTCCGATGCTCTGTCGGCAGGTTTTAGTCACTGCAAGGAAGGGTGGGCGTCGGACAAGGTTGTTGGCGCTGGCAGTCCTTCACGAACTTGTGGACAGGCTGAAGGACGAGTATCTGCCACTCGTCCCTGAGACGCTGCAGTATCTGTCTGAACTCCTAGAGGACAGTGACCAAATGGTGGCCAACAAGACCCGTAAGGCTATCAAGGCGATGGAGGAGCTGTCATCTGAAAAGCTGGACCGCTACTTGAAGCCTTGACAGCACGAACTAAATTTTAGCAAATTCAATTTTTTAGCGAACCCCAGTTGACTGGAAGGGGATGGGGGGGATTTACTGGAATGTAATTACAGCCTGTGACGCTTTCTGTGAGGGATGGTGGTGAAAGTGAGCAGTTTCTGAAATGTGGAGTATGGGAGGGAGTATAGTTGCTTGCTAAGGAGTCACTATATGTCCCATAATTTCTTGCAAATGATACAAATACGAAAATGCCTTCCCTCAAGTGGTGGTCTCGAGTAACAACGCATCATGGAATGAAGACTGACGACATGTGCAGTGATAAGTTAGTACTCAGAGCCAGGGAGCCCATAAGTCACAAGCTGAGAAAAATCGTTGTCCAAGCACGATCACTCCAGTTAAGACACAGGCTCTGTCTGCAATCTGAAGTCGTGCATCGACTATGGTAGGAGCTTGCATTTCAGCAATTTATAACGCCTGACAGCTGCTCGACTTTGGAAAGCAATGTTGCAGACTCTATGAAAGCAGTGAAGAACCAGTATGTTGCTCAGCAATTTGGACCCGAAAACTATGTTTTACCAGGAAGTCGCTGAAGATTGTGTATGCGAACGCAAAGGCCATCGGCTCAACTTTCTTTTCACAAACACCAGAGGTGATGCAGAATCCTTCACATTTCAAGGATCTTGCCTCCGAACTGGTTGCCGTGGCCCTTGCAAGTGGCGTTTCTTTTTTGTGCACCGCAAGTCCAAATTCTCTTGAACAGGATGGTTTCTTTGGGCTATTTGCTTCTGGAGACCTGTGTACTTTGTCTGCAAGGCTGGCACGGGGGTTGGGGGCAACGCTTACACGGACGGATGTTTGATCATCTCTGGTCAGAGGTGGCAAGTTCCCAGAACTTGGAGTCGTTTTTTCACGTTACATGTCAAGATCCATTGCTCGTGCATCTTCACGCACTTGCCCCGCAGTTTTGAAACCCCCTTTCAGGACGCGAAATGGAACCACACCGATTTGTTTTCTGACTCGTTGCTCCTGTACTTTTGACGGGACGCCAGCCAGCCCGAAAATGGCTCCACGATTGGCGTAAAAAACCGTGTGACGTCACCACGACCCAGGGCGCCTGGATGTCGGGCAGGGGCCACTGGCACAGGAACCGAGTTTCTGTCCTGGCGCCGTTTTTACCCCCGACCCTCGCCCAGGCGGCGGGCAGTCCAGTGCGCCGCGAGACCGCAGTCACAGCCCCAACAGCCGACCGCCGCTTCCTCAGCGCGGCGCGAGTCCATCCGCGCCGCACCGCGCCTCCGGACGCAAGCCCGCATCGCCCGGGCGGCCGAAGCGGGTCCGTTGGCGCCGGGACTGTCGGCGGCATCTTTTCGGATTGGTGGAGATGGCATCCCCGGGGGGCGCGGCCGGCAGGACGCCGTCGAATCTGGAAGACTCCCTGGACGCGGACGACCTGGGGATGACGCCCATGGATGCGGAAGGAGAGGTGGAGGATGACATCGATGATGATGAGCCCAGCTCGGAGGACGAGGGGGAGGGCGTGGAGCTGGTGACGGAGGCCATGTTCGACGACTACCGCGAGATCGAGGAGCTGGACCAGCTGGAGGCATCCGGGATGGATGAGGCCTATGTTGAGGACATGACGAGCGAGGAGCGCGCCCAGGCGCGGCGGTCGGCGGAGGCGGCGCTGGACAGGCGCGACAGGGAGAACCGGAGGCGGCGCCTGGGCATGGAGGTCCTCAACGAGGACTCCGAGATGACGGGGTCAGGGAGCCCCAAGCCCAGGTGGGCGCGCGAGCCGGGGGTACTTTTGCACCTGCCGCGGGGCGGCCGTGGGGATCATTTCATCCGCCGGAAATGAGCGCGTGTTGGGGTCCCGGGGGGATTGGCGCGATCCGTCCCTCAAGGGATGAGGCGCGGGTGGTCCACCCGGCGCTTCGGTCCGCATAGCTGTCCTCTTCTGCGGGGTACCTGACGGGATTGTCGAGGACTTTGGATTGCGAGGCGGGACACCTGCGCAGTCTGGAAGGTCTGGCGTTCGCGGCATTTTTCCCCCAGCACATCAGATTTCACGTCCATGGCCCCTGCATGTGTGCATCGCGCCTCATACGTGGCCTCTGTATTTGCGCGTTGGATGCTCTGACATCCTGTGTTCAACCAGAGTGGGCCGTTCCGTCGCTGGTGGGCGGGGGCCAGCTCTGCTCTGCTCTGGTCTCAGCCAGTGGACATCATCAGGTGTGATCACTGCACATTAGGCTCCATCGCTATCTGAGCCAATGTGTGCTTGCTGCCTAACTGTAGAAGGAGGAGGAGGGTGGAGGCCGCCCAGGCAGGTGACCTTGCCGATGAGGACTACGACGGCCTGGTGGACGTAAACATCGACGACCCTAGAGGAGACCTGCGCGACTGGATTTTGCAGGACCGCGTGAGGGACGAGATCGCTCGCCGCTTCAAGCGCTTCATTCAGCAAGCCAAGAACGCGGCAGGGCACCGGATCTACTGGGAGAAGTTGAACAAGATGGTGATGGAGAGCAGGAAGGCTCTGGAAGTGGACTTCGTGGACCTGGGACGCGCCTTCAAGAGGCTGGTGATCTTCTTGGTGGATGAGCCGCGCCTCATGCTGGACATCTTCAACGAAGTACGGGCTCGGATGACCTGGCAGGACACTTGCATACTTGACAACAGCACCACCTCAGTGAATCAGGAAGTTCTTCACGAGGCCATTGTTTGAATATTCGCCGCGATTTGGACAGTTTGCTCGCGTCATGTTGGAAAGAAGCTTCCTGCTCATAGAAACCCCGTGTTGCCTTCTTGGAAGTTACAGGAAGCTGCATAAGATTCAGTTGTCAACGTTGTGTGCAGTGGCCACCCACACTAAAAGTGGAATATCAACCTGCCATCAGGTGCTGCTGGAGCTGGCATCTCTTCTGGTGACCAACTTTGCCGAGCTGGGCTACACAGAGGCATTTGTGCGAATCATCAACGTGCCCAGCGACGAGACCCTCCGCACAATCCGCCAGAGCCACCTCAACACACTGGTGGGCGTGTCAGGCGTCGTGGTGCGACGCACAGGTGTCTTCCCCCAGCTGAAGATCTGTATGTACGACTGTACAATATGCGGCAACCTGCTGGGGCCCTTCTACCAGAATACGGACGCAGAGGTGAAGCCTAATACCTGCCCCAGATGCCAGTCCAAGGGGCCCTTCGCAATGAATATGAATGAGACACAGTACAACAACTATCAGAAGCTCACGCTGCAGGAGTCACCAGGTACAGTGCCTCCAGGCATGCTGCCAAGGCAGAAGGAGGTGGTGCTGCTGCACGACCTGGTGGACTGCGCTCGACCTGGGGACGAGGTGACGGTGGTGGGCATCTACACCCACATATACGACTCGTTCCTGAACTCCAAGAACGGCTTCCCTGTGTTTTCAACCAAGATTGAGGCCAACAGCGTGGTGAGGAAGGACGACAAGTGCTCGCTGTTCCACCTGACGGACGAGGACACGAGATACATTGAGAGGATGGCAGCTGACACAGACATAGGTACGGAGCTGCTTGTGTACAGTTGAAGCGATGAAATGTACAATCTATGCAAATCTTATTGAGTGAATTGTGCTTGGGATGATGTACCTTTTTCTAAGCCAAACGTTTTGATTCAAAAACGTGTGCAACAAGGAACAGGTATAGATGAACACAGTTGGCTGCAGATGCACTGATTCTACTATGCGTACACGAGCAGATGCTTCGTTCTGTTCGATGTTCAGGGAGTAGCATTCAGGGTTGGCGACTGCCTTGTTGCACAATTGGAGTGCATCACTGCAAAAGCTCACAACGTGCATTGAACTGGTACCACCAGCACTGCAGGCTGTAATCCTGTCAAGTTGACAAGACAAAACTGTGCCCTTGCCCTTGGTCTTGCGCCATTATTGCAAGCAGCCCCGGACTGGCATGCCAACGAACACGTCCAAGTGACACATGTGGTGAAATTCCGGACCAAACTCTGTGCTTGGGAGCAGCTTTGTCAACCAGAATAAGAAATATTGATGTAGTCTGCCAGCCCAGTTATTGCACTCCAGAGGGTTCCCAAATACTAGGGACATCCACCACGGGCGCAAATCCAACCAGGAAGCACCGGGCACTGTGGTTCGCCTGGTCCACATCTCCCCATTCCAAACGGTTCAGTCCCGCCCCCCCTTCGCTCTCATTCCCTGTTGCCAAAAATTTGATGCATCTTTAGAAACAGCCGCCCCCGCCTCAATCCTTGGGACCCTTTTCTTTCTTCCGTTTTCGGACAGGCGCCAATGTTTAGAGGAGCGGAGCAGTGCGACCAATTTGCGCATTTATTGCGGTGCGGACAACCTGTCCACAACGCCGGATTTCGCACCCAAGAAGCTTGCGCGACGCCTGCCCGATGAAAACGGTGCAAAGACTTGCACAGGGCTGCAGCCTGCGCTCTCGAACGCGATGGAAAAGCTGACAGCGTTCGTTCCCCGGCGACAGGCAGGAAGATCATCAACTCCATCGCGCCGTCCATCTACGGGCACGAGTTCATCAAGACCGCCATCGCGCTGTCCCTCTTCGGCGGCCGCGAGAAGACCAAGGACTCCCACCGCCTGCGCGGCGACATCAACATCCTGCTGCTGGGCGACCCCGGAACCGCCAAGTCCCAGTTCCTGAAGTATGTGGAGAAGACGGCGGCCCGCGCGGTGTACACGACGGGGAAGGGCGCATCCGCGGTGGGCCTCACGGCGTCGGTGCACAGGGACGTCGTGACGCGGGAGTGGACCCTGGAGGGCGGCGCGCTGGTGCTGGCGGATCGCGGCGTGTGCCTGATCGACGAGTTCGACAAGATGAACGATCAGGACAGGGTGAGCATCCACGAGGCGATGGAGCAGCAGAGCATCTCCATCAGCAAGGCCGGCATCGTGACGTCCCTGCAGGCGCGCTGCGCCGTCGTGGCCGCGGCCAACCCGATCGGCGGCCGGTACGACCCCTCCAAGCTGTTCGCCGCCAACGTGGAGCTGTCGGACCCGATCCTGTCGCGCTTCGACGTGCTGTGCGTGGTGCGCGACGTGGTGGACGTCTTCAACGACGAGCGGATGGCGAGCTTCGTGGTGGGCAGCCACGCGGACAGCCACCCGGACAACGCGGACCGGATGGACGAGGTGTGCCGCGCGGCCAAGGGCATGCTGGACGACGCGCCGCACGGGTCGCAGCAGGCCAGCGACGCGTCGCCGGCGGGCGCCCCCACGCAGGACGCCAACGAGGACAGGATCCCCGAGATCATACCCCAGGAGATGCTGAAGAAGTACGTGGCCTACGCCAAGCAGCGGGCGCGGCCGGCCCTCGGGGAGATGGACTACAACAAGCTGGTGGAGGTGTACACCGAGCTGCGGCGCGAGGCGGGCATCAGCCACGGCATGAACATGACGGTGCGACACCTGGAGAGCATGATCCGCATGGCGGAGGCCCACGCGACGATGCACCTGCGGCACCGCGTGGAGCCCGGCGACCTGGACGTGGGCATCCGGATGGTGGTGTCCAGCTTCATCGCGACGCAGAAGACGCGCGTGCAGCGCGACCTGGAGCGGAAGTTCAGGAAGTTCTTGGTGCGCGGGCGGCACGCGTCGTCGCTGGGCTGGTCGCTGCTGGAGGCGATGGTGAACGAGGAGGTGGCAGAGCTTCGGCTGATGGGGGTGGGCAACATGCCGGAGTGGGTGAAGCTGCGGCTGCGGGACGTGGAGCGGCGGTTCAGGGACTCCAACGTGGACATAGAGGGCTTCCTGGCGAGCCAGGCGTTCGCGCGCAGCCACTACGTGCTGGATGACGCGGAGAAGGTCATTCGCCTGCACTGGATGCGCGCGGGGGACCTGGGGGGCGACAGGCCGGATGCGCCCCCAGCCATCGCGGTGCACTGAGGCCGGAACACGGGCCCCGGCGTTCTTCCGGCAGGGAAACGGATTGATGGGGCTAAAAAGGGTGGGGCAATGCGATGTGGGTGTCGATGTGACTGACGAGGGGGTGCAGGCCTTTTGGTACTCTGGGTAACTTGGGACGCTGGCGATGTAATGCTGCTGGTTGGACACCATCTCGCCACTCGCCACACCACTGCCCTCTTGGGCATTGGTGCGGTCGGGTTTTGCGCAACAATCTGAACGTTACAACCAGAAAAAAACTTAGGGAAAATGACAAAAGGGGGTCCTCTGTGAGATATCTTGACAAAAGGGGGTCCTCTGTGACAAAAGGGGGTCCTCTGCGGGGTCGCCCCTACTAGGACCGGCTTGCCAACCGGTGCCGGTCTGGCGCCGGCCTGGCAACGCGTCTGATGTACGTGGGGCGGCCTAAGGACCCCCTTTTGTCAAGATATCTCGCAGAGGACCCCCTTTTGTCATTTTCCCAAAAACTTATCAGAAGACTCTATTTGGCAATCAAGAGGTAACCCGATGGCAATCAGAATATTTTGCTTTGAGTTCGTCCTATTCCTGTGAATCTTTACAATGGCAGCAGCCTGGAACCGCAAAATGTGCAAACATTTCAATTATTTTTCAACTGCGCCTGCAAAGGCACCAACAAACAATGGAAATTGCTCATTTTCACAGAAGACCATGGAGAAATTTGTAGAATCAGTTCAAGCATCTTCCAAGTTCTGGTTCATAATCCTGCAAAGCGAAAGTGCCTTACAAGCCAATCAGAATCAGATAACAGGCCACATTCCCAACTGGTGTAGGTGACCAAACACATGTTACAGTGTGCGCATCAGGGTAGAAACACACTGTTTTGCGCCTTCTGCACTTGATAGGTATAGTGATAAGTTAACCTTAGTTTCTGATTGGTGGACCAAGGGTGGGCGCTTGGTCTGCCCACTGATGCACTGGGCAGCAGCAGCAGGATGTGCGTTTCTGGGAACCGTTGTTCTTTGCAATCTTGACCCACTGACCCGCAGGCTGCGCTTGAACGTGGAAAAAGGACCTGTGGGCTCTGGCCACGAGTTTCAAAGGGAGCCAAGGCTTGCGTTCTGATGGGCACACCTTGGCAGGCTTCCATCTGTCCACAGCGAGCCTCCCTGCCTTGAGGGGTGCCATAAGACCGGCTGTCTTGTATTACCCCCGACCGGGTCATCCCTGGATGTGTTAACTCGAAACTAAGGGACCACACGAAGTATGAGCACTTGGCGAAGCTGGGGTGCATTGAGTTCGACATTTATAGGATTTGTTGATGGCAGGGGAATTGGTTGACATTTTGGCACATACACCCAGTGCAAGTTCGGATTGGGCGGTTTTGGCGGGTTGGGACGGGGCTTGTGTCTCTTTGCAACCCAGCCCGAATTCAACTGCCAGCCGGCCTCCCCCACCATTGAGCACCTTCGACGCGATGAACTTCGACCTTTCGGCTTTGGACAGCGTCGCTCGAGGGGAGGGACGGGCGCGCCCCAGATGCGCAAAGCCGCCGACCGGGGCGAGGCTGGTGCGTTGAAGAGAGGCATGGGGCGCCCTCTTTCCAAAGCAACGTGTGTCCCTCCTGAGTCGAGTCTCTTGCCAGCGGCCTGTCGATCTCCACGCTGGTGGCTTTTCTTGCGGCAGCCATAACAACCTCACCCTCCCTCCTGCGCTTGCCTTTTGGCGCTGCCGGGAAGCCCCCCCGGTGGCGAACTCCCGGCCAAATGCCACGGATCATAAAACTGCGCGCGAACCTTCCGCTCCATTGGCTGCCTGTCTCCAACTCCCCTCCCGCAGGCTGGCAAACCCGCTTTTCCAAGATGGGCATAATGGCGGCGGTTCATCTTCACCTGCCATACTCCTCCCGAACCGCCTGACGGCGACGCTGCGGTGCCATTGGCCTGCCGCTCGTGATTCCGCTTTCCCAGCCCGACTGATTGTCCGCTTTTGTTTCCCTCAGCGGCCTCGCGTAAAGGTCAGCCAGGCCTCCCACGCCCAGCGCGACGCCTCTCCCTCAGTGGACGCCATCCAGCCTCCGACGCCCCCTCACATTCAGGACGCCCCCGCCGCGAGGAGCAACGCGGATGCCACGACCAACGATGGGCGCGACTCGCGCGCCCAGAGTCCCAGGCCGCCGGGCGGACCCTCGCGCAGCGCCTCATCTGCTCCTGTGCCGCGGCTTCTCGCGGCGAAGCGAAGGATTAGACAAGAAGGCGCCTCAAAGAAGGGGTCCAGGAAGTTGCGGGCGGGGGCTGATTTGGATAAGGGGGCAGCAAAAGTTGGCAGGCGCACCGCGGACAATCTACCGGGGGAGTTGTTGTCTGATGAGGATGCGTCCTCGGAAGGACCGAGGCGAGGCGGTGGGGCGAAAGGCGTGTCTCCAGCTGAGTCGGTGGAGCTTGATGACGGGATTGGTGGCGGATCCCACGGCCTGGAGGCTGGTGGACGCGGGCGCAAAGGGACCAGGAAGGCACCGAGCAGGCGCCTGGTCGCGAAGAAGCGACCTCTGGAGGAACAAACGGGAAAGGCAAGCTTCACCGTGGGCTGTGGACGACCGCTCACCGGGGCGATTTCCAACCCATTTGGCAACTGGATTGCGGACGGAAAACTGTGTGACACCCACAACTGTGTGCCCTCGTGATCAAGCTCAGTGATGTGTGTCACCGGTACTGGGCGCTCTATCATCTTCACCTGGGTGCCTACCTTCCTGCTCAAATAGTTGGCGCAAGACTAGACTATGGCGTGTCAGCACCAGCTGTGTTGTCTTGTCTTCCGCTGGTGTTTGTTTTCATTCAAAAGAAAAAGACTCAAAGATTGATTTACACTCAGAATGACAAAGATGGCATGCCATGGGTGCCGCACGTCTTAACAAGAAATTTTTGAGCCTCTTTTCCACAATACAGAAGATGATGGAAGATTGCCCAGAAGAGCAACACATGCAGCTACTGCATGTCTCTTTCCAGAACCTTGTGTGGAGCTCCCTGCTGGGAAAGACTTTATTGCAACAGTGTTGGTGGTGGCCTTTGTTGTGCACTGAAATCGAACAGCTCCTAAGGTGCAATATTCAAATCATGATTTGGTTTGTTTCAGCAAGACGTTGATAATCGTGAGTTGAATCCCAATATGCTTGTGTGGGCTATGGTTCAATCCGATCAGGCTGAATCTTACTTCGGTTTGCCCAGGGAGGCAAAATACAAAGTGAACAAAGGTATCCCACTCGAAGGAAAAGACTCAAAGTCAGCCTGAAGGAGACCAACGATGCCGAGACTGATGAGGGGCTCAACGGGGAAGGTGCTGCCACAGATGAAGATGAAGAACTCGACAATTCAGGGAAAGATGAGTTGGGCAGGCAGGCAGGCTCGAGAAAACACCAAACAGCCCACACCAGTGACAAGAAAGGGCCAGCGGGAAGTAAGAGACGTAAAAGACAGCAGAGTGAGTGTTGAGAATCTTCTGCTGCTTGGAAAACTTGAGTTGTTGCATGTGCAAGATGCGAGCATGCTGTGCACATGTGTCGTGGGGCATTCATCACAACATGACACATACCATCCTCCTATTGAGGAGACCATCACCCATTCAAAGAGAACATCCCCTTGCAGCTTGTTCATTGGTGCTGATTCTGAAACGCCAGCAGTTTGATTGTTTTTGTAATATATGATGATACTGCTTGATTGCCTTGCTGTATTTGGTCTGGAGCTGTCAGCTGGCGATTGATCCTGCAAACCCCATTGTAAATTGTCACAGTGAAACCGATGCGAATGCCTGTGCAATTGGAACAGCAACAAGCAACATGTAGAGGCAGGGAGCTGCATTGCATCACCTCGATGTTGATGAAGCACTGTCAGCTTGTCGTCCTCACTCCCCTGGTGTTTCTTGTCTTCTGGAATGTGTTTGCAATTTCAAAGGGGCAGTGCCCTCTATGAACAGCCACTCTAGGTGCCTGCTCTGATCGTGATTTGCTGGTGCAAAGGCTTGAAAATTTCCGTTGGCTGTTGTTGTGGACTACCTGTCACCACAACATCATGCTGTGAGCCAGGATATGCTACCCCCCTTCCATTTTGTTAGAGCTGTCATATTGGAATGTGCCTTTGGTGTGAAATTTTTTGCTTTCTGTGGCAAGGATTACAAGCAGATTCTCAGATGCTGTGAGCTTAGTTTATTTGGAATGGACCTGTGTGATTGGAATTAGCTAATAATGGATCCATAACTGGTCAAATCACAACATGTTGCTGCTCAGTACTGAGGCACCAGACATTTGCTGTGGCACAGAAAAAAACATTGCGCTCAATGGCTCCCCTACCCGCATAATCCCATTGAGCAGGAATTGTGAGATTCAAGTCCATATTGTAGCGATGATGTGGAGGTCTGCGAATTGGGCGTGCTATTGATAGACCCAGTAGCAATAAACTGCATTCTCACAGCGTGCTCAGTGTGCAGTTGCGGATAGTGAATGGATGGACTTTTGATTATCTCTGCTTCTTCACCTGCACTTTTGCACCTCCGATGGCCTTCCTTTCCCAACTTTCTTTTGGTTTGCAGGGAAGCAAATGAAGGATCTGCTTAAAGTCCAGGACCTGGGCAGTTTGTGTATGTCGGACTTAATCAGGAGGAGCCAGTTTATGGAGCACAAGAAGGAAATGAAAGCCCGCAGAGATCAGGATGAGAAGCAGAAAAAAAACGGAAAATGTAAAGAGGCGCCCACTGTGCAGGATATTCAAGCAAGTCAGCAGGGATCTAGAATTGCTCCGCAAGTCCAGGTGGGTGCAGCCTGACATGGGATGCCAGGCATGGAAACCTTGGACAGATGTTTCATTCACAGGTCAACTGCACATTCCCTGCACATGTGTAACCATGTGCAGTGTTGTTGACTAGAGCAATTGTGCTAATGATCACTATTGCCTGTGGGGTTTTTGGTGCCTTGATATCCTTCCCAAGTTGCATGGCATTTGCCTGGGCTGGCGGCACATAGTGCAAAGGTTGGGGCTCAGTGCCCATTGCCAGATTAGCCTTGATGCAGCTTTATGGTTTGCTCCCCTCAAACACCTGCATTGTGTGGTTTCTTGGCTAATTCTGCCACAAGCAAAGAACTGCACTCTACTTTCCACATCACCTCATGGTTTAGCAAGGAAGCATGCCTCATTATTGATTGACAGCCTGCAGTGTCGGACGCTGTGGCGAAACCTGATGTGCTTTGCCAAGAGCAGGTTTGATTGGTGTGTGCTGTTCTTTAAGGTGACTGAGAGGCGCTGAGCACCGAGTCCTAAAGGAAGGGCACATGCCACTTGACCAGTAAAACTGTGTGTTTGTGAATGTGCAGCGAGCTTGCAAGAAGTCTCTGGCCTGATTGGATGACTGTTTTGATAACAAAGTCGACTGCTTGGTGGCGTTGCTCCAGGTTATTGATGGTCGCATTGTACTAAACACCCAAAGCCTGGAAGTGCATGCCCAAGAAAGCGGATTGGCTGGCTACCAAAGGGTCGAGGAAGGCGAGGACAGGCTGGTGAACTCTCACACTTACTCGAATTGGATCAAACCCAAGAGGTGGAAGAAGGAGGACTCGCTGCTTCTCTATGAGGTGACTTTTCTCTGAAACACAATTCATTGCTGTTGCCTGTGGTGCATTGTACGATTCGAATAGGCCCTGAAGCAACACCAAGTTGTTGTGAAATCCAGGTACCGTGCAGTGAGTAGATCCTCTGTTTACGTTTCTGAACATGGTGTGGCACGCACACAGTCGCCCAACAATGAATGCAGGCCCACTATTCCAAGGAATTTGTTTGTGTCTGTATGTTATTGATTTGGATGTGGTCCCATCAGTCTTCAGTATTGTTCCAAATCCAGTGTGCAGGCTGGGTGGATGTGATGGACAAAGGGAACCAACGTGTGGTGATATCCAGTATGCACAATACAAAGAAGAAGTGTGAGTTGTGGATAGTGCACGGGCCTCATTGTGCACGTGGAAGTGTGCATGTGCTTTGAGCAGTGACGTTATGGAACTCCCTGCGGTGGCCATGGCGTTCAAGAGCATATCCTCATCGTGGTCGCCTTCTCCGTCATCCCTGGTCACTTGTTTCCCCAGTTGCGATTGCTGCTTCAGCACAGCTTGTGTTCGTGTGGGATTGGTGTTGCTCTGGTTGTGTTGATCGCATCGGTGACTGGACTTGGTTGCTCTGAATTCTTTGGGTCTTTGTCTGTGTCAGGGCCTCCGACAGTTTGGAACCGACTTCACCCTTATTGGGCAATTATTTCCAGACAGGCAAAGAAAACAACTCAAAACGAAGTTCCAGAAAGAATGGCGTGCAAACCCAAAGAAGATGGAGGCAATCGTGGCGGGCAGGAGCAATACGGAAGGGCAGCAGATGTACAAAGTTTTACTGGACAAATTGGAACTCCGGCGGCGAGAAAAAGAGGTAATGAATGTTGTTGAGGCACTTCTCCAAAATGTCAGACAGCCATGAATTGTGCTTGTATCTACGATTGGTAACTTCAAAAGGTTTACACACCACTTGTCATGTTCAGGTTGCAGTCGTTGATACTTGCTGGTTGCTTGTTTGCAATCCCTGCATACACAGCGGTTGTCAGTATTCGTCCAGTTGCGGATAGTGGCATGCACAGACGAATGGAGTAGTTTTGGTTGTGCAGGCTACTGCTGAGCAAAATCTTGTGCATGAGCTGGGGAGAATGCAGGACTCCGTGCTTTTGCCCGAAGTCACGAATTTGTGTACAAGTTTGAAGTGCGAAAATGCTTTCTTTCTCACAATGCTGAATGTGTCGGTCTCTTGTTCATCACTGTTGATGAGTTCTTGCATACTACTACAACCAAACTGCAATACTGGGTTAACAACTGGGACGGTTTGCCCTGATGTATGTTGACATCAGCCACGCTTACTGAGCTTTTCAACAGTTGGTGGATGTGCAGACTCGCCGTGGCGAACCGACAACTTGCGACGCTGAGGAGGGCAAACAAGGTGCAAATGATCAGCAGGCAGAGAAAACACAAGCTGAGCAGCAGAGGGATGCCGCTAGTGGGCCTGCCAGGACCACTGCTGAGGTGCCTGATGATGATCCAAAGCATGAGGAGGCATGGGCGGACGACGATGGATATGTCGATGAAGAAGACTACTATTACATGTAGTGTTTTGTGGCGTTAGGCAAGGGAGCTGCACGTTGTTAGTCGATGACTGGGTGATTATGCTGGTCTGTAGCACGTGGGATCATCCCCACTATTGTAGGTTAGCACCTTGTAGAACATCATGAAGTGATCGCCGTTTTTGCTTCCGCATTCCTGCATAATTGGCGGACATCCCTGAAAATGAGAATGCGCTGCGCAGCATTTGATGTGATGCGGACATCACACAACACACCGCTCTTCAAGAGTGCTTTTGCTTTGGCCACATCAACGCATCCCTTCCAAGAATGGCGTGGCGATTTAGTTGTCAAAACCATTCAGACTGAATACATTGCGAATGTCGGCAAAGCGTGTTTGTCAAACGGGAATGGTGTCACGTGACGACATACGTGATACGTGTATTGACAAGGAACCCTATTGTGCACCCCCTGCTGCACTGTGTTCGCCCTGACAATGCCCACCACAGCTTTGAGACAAACGGCGAAGCTCGTTTCCCTTCTGACGATGCGCCCCTGGAAACGCTAAAATGTATTCAGATCTGTGCAAGCAAACGGCGTGCCAGCGGGGAATCTAGTCAAGTTTGAAAACGCCGATGCGAAAACACGTGCCGGCCATAACTGTAGAATGAGTCGCACGCATCGCAACACTAGCCTTATGGCCCCAGCTGTGTGATTGGCGAATTATTTGCAGTGTCTGGACAGCATTGGAACGCTCCGTCGGTGAGTCGCCAGAGCGTGCCGCCGTTGAACGCTTGAATGAAATTGGTGACGTCACGGCGATGTCCCCCTGGGGGCCTTGACGTATGCCTCTCGCACACAAGCCCTGCAGGGCGTTGACGAATCGCAATTTCGCGCCATTGCCCTCGCCACCAATGGCCAGTACTGTTCAAGACGCCTATTCCTTGATGTTCCCTCACATAGTCATGACATTGAGGGCGTTTCACGTCGGGCGTCAGAAGCAGGTGGAAATGGCAACCGGCATTGAAACTGTGTTTTGCGGTCCGGTTCGCGACGCCACATACATTATGCGACGGAATGGCCACCATTTTCGGTCGGTGGAGCGCTTCGGTAAATTGAAATGATGGATGTCTGCTGCACGCATGCTATGCACATTACGGCAGGCCACCGCCGCTGAAAAAGTTGAACGCTTCTAGCGTCCCAATGGGCGGCCTTGGCGCTGTAGCTGGAAGCGACCCCCCTCGCCATGGCGAACTTGGCTGTTTCTGGAAACCCGTGAAGTTTGGCTTCTTCTTGACTAGAGTCACGGGGAGTCCAAATACTGCCTGCTTTTTCGTTACTTTGCTACGGCTAGAACTAATTGAGTGTTATTAATAGCTGAATGCATGAAAAGATGATGAAGCACTGGGAATTGCATTAAGGATGTTGATGAACGGACGGAGTATAAAGTACAGAACGCCTGTTGTCCTTTTGCCTCGGCTGTAAACCGTTGTCGTGGACTCGAGCGTACAACTCCCGTTCAGGGATCGCCACCCCTCGATCCTGCCCGCCTTCGTCAACTTTGAATTCGGAACTTAGTTTTCGTCACCACCCTCTAAGTTCGCAACTTCGAATGGGAAGGGGGTGTGACTATCGGTTTTGGCTTTTATAAGAAATGATGGTGTAAATCCATAGGAGACATTTTCTCAGGTATGGAGGAATTGTATGGCTGTCTAGGAGGGTTTCTGTCGCTTGGTCCTGACCTGGGGACAGCGTGCAATTCCCTGGTTCAACGTTGGCCAGAATGTTGAAGGCGAAAATGGTGGTGATTGGTGCCAGCTGGGTGCCATCGATGTCACCTTTAATCGATTCGTGATGTCATTTCCATCATTGCCAGTCGGTTGACAGCGGCTAATGTACATCAGTGCTTTCACTTGCCGGCCTCTTGCCTTCCGAGTTGACGATTGGTGCACTGAACGACGGCGTGCAGCCGCGGTGGGCAGGGCATTGCTGGGTACATTGATTTTGCATCGTTGAACCACATGCCGGATGCAGAATTTTGGCCAGTATTGTCCCGCATCGTGGATGACGTCACAGCCATCGATTGGCATAAAATATATGATCTTGGAAGCTCATAAGGCAGCAGGGATGGAGAAGTTCCGTGATTTGCGTTGATCAACTGCCTCTTGCAGCCTTAGCCCTGCACCCGTCACCAAATGTGATGGCTGTCACAAACAGTTAAATCCCTGCCTTGCCCCTCAATTTACGGCGCGTTGCCTGGCATCAAAGCCTCCCAACGACATCAGGCTGGCAGAAAGATATGCTCGAATGGGGTAACCGCGTCCTTCCGACTCTGCCATCCCCTTTTGCAGGGCCGTCAATGGCCAGGCAATCAACCCATGCACATGGGTGTTGCCCTTCATAATTAGGAAACTTCCATTCTCGAGCATGCAACATGATGACGCAGGAATAGCGACCTGCAGAGACATCAGGGCACATTTGCACCAAGAGCGTTGGCCTGTACACAGAAATTGCAAACATTGAACATGGTCTATGCGGCGTTTTCTCAGCAGGCCGTATCATGCAGTCGATGGCAAATTGGGGAGATACCCGGGCATAGCTCCCATGCCTTCAATTTTGGCAGCAAAACAGTGTATAATCAGCACATCACGCTCCCAGCACTGCGTATAGTGCAATGGCTTGACTTTTTTGCAGCGATGAAATACAACGAGCAATACTGCTGAGCCAAATTACACAACCTAAAAGTATCTTTGTTTTCAAATGATCTGCCCACGTGCAGAGCTCGCGTGGCACTGCCTCTTTCCTCCGCGTCAAAGGTTGCTTCCTGCATGCGTGTGCTTGTGGACTACGTTGGTCTTTTCAGCATCTCTTTTTGCAGGCATCTTGCCGTCCTTCGCGCAGGTGCAGCCGTCAATCCCTCTCTGTTTACGGCGCTGGGTCTTCGAGCATCGCCACTGTGTGAAACCTGTGGCCACGACCACTAGCATTTGGAGATGCTTGATGGCTTGCACCATGATGTTTGGCTGCCTTGTGCTTGTCGTGACTCCATTATTGGCAGCGCTTGTGCGCACGGCCGCTGCCAATATCTGAGTCACGACGAGTACAGGGCCTGAAGCATGCTACAAGTGGGATTTCATGTTGCAGCGCTTCTGGGGCTTGTGGTGTTTGTCCTAGATGTCATTTGTGTTACGGCCACAACACACACTCGAACTGCTTGTGGCGTCCATATCCACTGAAGCTGGCCTCGCCGTCATACTTACCTGTCATGGGACAAGCCTGTTTGAAGCTATCATATTTCCCTCTCAGCAATTGCGCTGTTCGCAACAGCCAGTCGCGCATTGGGATGCATAGCTGCTGCAATTTCCATGCGCGCGACAGCTGCTGTGGCCACAACCGTGATCGGGCTCTTTGTAAGTGCCATGCTTTCCATAGTAGACGTGGTTTCCGTGGTGTTCAATCTCGTCTCAGATTCCGTGTTTGCCGCAAAGATCGCCCATTCCGACCACATCATAGCATGATGTCCTCTGCAGTGACTGTGCACGCCACGTCGTTGGGACCACGCTGGCCATCACATCAGTTTTCATGGTCGTTTGCGTGTCCGCCTAAGCAAAGAGAGTGCTCGTTGTTGGCTATGCCCCTGGCCGTAGTCGTCTTTGCTGTCGGACCATTTGCCCCAATGGTTGGGGAGTATTGTATCCATAGTGGCCGCCATGGCGAGAGTACTATGAATCACTGGACGAATAGTCCCCGTGCGACTTGACCGAAGCGTGTTGGACGTCCGCTCGGGCTGCAGCAGGAGAGGGATGGATAAGCGAAAGTGAGTGCGATGCAATATTACAGCACTGAAGCTCCTTCATCCGGGTTTGGAGTACTTTGGCTGCTTTCTGGGTTCATGGCCTTGAAATAGAAGTACTGGATGAGTCTTCAAAACGTAATCAAATACGGTCATATTCATTGTGGATCAAACGTTGTACTCTGTAACATTTTATGCGATAGTATTATAAAAAGCGCAAATGTGTGAAACATAACGGTGATAATGTGAGATTTTGTTCGAGGTCTTAGCATGCAGAAATAATATCTTGAATCATGTATAAGTGACTTTACTAGTGTAGTAAAGTAATCAAAGAGCAATTTACACATCGGCAGAAACCATTCATAGAGCGTTCAATTCAGAAGTAAATGCTTTAACAAAATTTCGAGTCCTCTGGTGGCTTCATCGCTCGTAAGAATGTTTTGCAATGAAGCAAGCATAATACAAAATAACGCGCAGCAAATCGCGCTCGAAAACTTATAAAAATAGGACTCCGGTTCCCTACGAGACACTCATGAAACACAGTCACACTGTGCTGTGACAGTTGGGGCCCGAGGTGCCGGCGTTTTCGCGGTTGACTTCCGCACCATATTCGCCACAAAATTGTCCGGTAAGATGCGTGCCGTGGTGATCCATGTGCAATGAAAACCACCTCGCGCGCAGGGGTCTTCACCCATCGGTCACGAATCATGACCCCGAGAGGAGTCTTTCTTTGGCCATGTGGGCAATAATTCGTTGAAAAGAATAAAACACAAAATGCGTATTTACGTGCCCTCGCCTGTGCAACATTCCTAATTTCGGGAGGTGAGGTTTATATTTTAGGGAAGCAATCGAAACCTTCCTTACCAGCGACTTGAGCAAATAAATAGAGGCAGGGTTTGCTGATTCGAAACAGCATTGCCAAAGTTCAGTCGCCACTAGATGGAGACTGCGCACCCAGCTTCGCGGCAACATCACGTTCTCAAACGGCGACGCGCAAATAGGCGGTGGGAAGAAAAATCAGTGTTGGAAAGTAAGGGGGCGTGGGCCGCAGTTGCGTGCATTGAGCGAACTTGCAGATGCACCTGGCTTCACGGGGCAATTATCAGTGAGTTCACGAGCGAAAGTCGCGAATGCGCATGAATGCACACACGCAAGAGAGGTAACGTGTTATCTCACAACTGTTTAAATTCGGACGTAGAGCCGCCGTTGATATACGAACGGGCAAAGACGCGACAGAAACCGCGCGGCTGTTGCGTTTGGCTAATGTGCATCTTGTTCAAAGTAAAAGGATGCCTAACCTGAAAAAGAGCGCACTGCCCAACGAGCACGCACAAAGTGCGCACGGTAACCCCGTGAACTTCAAATCCCTCAACATCGGGGCAAGAAGGCCTTCTCGTGCCGTCAGCAATTTCGCGATGCGCAGCAGGGACCGGGTGCAGCGTGCTCCGCAGCTTGCCAGCGATCTGCCTCGAAACAGGGGTCCTTCGGAGCGATTACAGAGCTGCCGCGGTCACGTTGAATCCAAGCTTTGGACTTGCTAGTCTCTCGGTGTCGTTTTGGTTCCCGACTTTCGAAACCCAGCGACAGGTTCGAATGCCAAGAGCAGTTTTCAGAATGGAGAGGTGGTCAGAGCACAGACGCGAAAGGGATCTGTGCCCTGACGTCGATACAGTCGATGACTAATTGCCGGATCAGTAGGGCGAGGCGGTCTAAGTCAGCTTTGCGGGTGGCTTGTACTGCAAAGTGTAATACAGCTTGCCCGGCGGTCAAAGAGGTGTGCAGGTCCCAGGCACACGGCACACGCCCGTGTTGCGGTCGAGGCAACTGGAAGCACTGCTTCAGAAGGACGATAAATACTTAAGCAAATTAGAATTTCAAATATCTGTACACAATCCGCCTGGGCGTCAATTTGGCGCGGAGCGCACACAAATCCACCCGGTGCGGTTCCCAAAATGGGATGGAGATGTTTGTACAGCTCCGCCATTGTCACAGGACCAGATATCACGATGATTCTCGTCACGCTTGCTTCATTCGTATGTTGGTACGGCAGATTTTCATCAATTGATCTGCAATTACTGCAAGATCAAAAAATAATCCTTTCAAGGAACGTCAGCCAAACAGAATATATGACAAATCAACCATTTCAAAGCCCAGACAAAGGATGGCGGGACAATGTTCTCCGCACCGCCCCCTATCCATTGGGATGGTCGTCCGCACCCCTGCAACCATGACAGCAAACTCGGGGGCCAAGAAGCGACTGAAACCTGAGATAGAACTCCGAACCGTACTGCATGAATGCCTCAAAGTGTTCCATTCACCAGAGCTACGAGGACGCACGCTGGCACAACCGTGCAAAGTGAGCAGACTGAATTTTAGTGCCACCGACTACTATCGACCAGTGCGCACAAGGTATCTGGCAACAGCACTTGACGCAGCCCGAAGGACAAACCCCCAAACAGCAAGCTCCCACAAAATGAAGCACCTCTTCTTCGTTTCTGTCCTGGTCAATCTGTCACCTGTCTCGCCATGGAATGGCGCTTCACCGAATGTTCACCTTAGCCTCCTGTTGCCCGTTGCCGCAACGCACTCCAGGCGCTCCAAGACAGTGGGCAGCTTTTGGCAGTCGACCGTTTCAAAGTTACCTATGGTAGCCGCCGGGGGCCCAGACGGGGCGCCGGGAGAGGCCGGAGGCGGAGACGGGCTAGTGGGAGAGTCAGGAGATGGAGACGGATCAGCGGGAGAGGCAGGAGGTGAAGGAGTGGTCGGCGGGGTTCCTGAGGCTGCCCCCGTGGGGCTCTCCGTCCTGCCCATCAGCTCATCTATTTCATCTACATCGTCCTGCGTTTGGCATGATCCGGGAGTGCACTGCCGCGCAAGCTCGACGCCAATGAACCGGGTGCATCCACACGTCTCGTCAAATTGCGCATTTCCAGAGTCGAGGGTTGGATCGGCGCCTTGCGAAAGCAGGAACTTTATGCCATCGACATTACCCCAAAATGCGGCCCACCCAATGGGAGTGACTCCTATGGTATTCTGTTGGTTCACGTCGATGCCCTGTGGACACGCATCACAGAACTCCTCAGCACGCTGACGAGCCAAAAGGATGGACGGTGGGGACTGCGCAGAAAGGGCAACAGGCTGTTTGAAGCCGACGTGGAACATATTGCATTTTCGCTACAATGTCAAGAACGCAAAAACCAATACGCAAAATTGGGCAAAGGCTTGCTCATACGTCGTTGCCACAACAGTGCGTTGCTTTCATACTTTTCAGAAAGCCATCCGCAGCAATACATCGCCAAAATCATATGAAATCTAGCGCGGTATGCAGTCCAAATCTCTGCAGATCGTGTGGAAGCCTCATTCCTACGGAACGATACACTGCACAACAGCGCTATTCTTCTGTCACATTCTTTATTGGCAATGGACAACCCATATATGCGCATTAAAATGAGACACTAGTGCACTGCAAATTCACACACTTATTCAGGGCAGTATGGATTAAATGCAACTGGGGACAAATTCACCGCCATGCCAAATACAGTATGCACATCGCAATCCGGTGTGATCACAGGCATGTGCCACATGTGTTCTTGTTTGCACCATGTCAGACACTCCAATGCAACCACGGCAAGTTCAGGTCCTGGTCAGCTTGCGCTTCGCTGCCTTGACTTTCGAACATTTCTGTAACTGTCTGCTCTGTAGCCAGTATTGGCAGACTCTTCGGCGCAGCTCAAGGTCAGCAAGGTCAGCTTGTGAGTGTATCTGCTTCGACCTCGCAACATCATATCCAAGAAGAATCTCGTGATGAAACGGTGGCTCCTGCAATTCCAAACTGTTGCTCTGTTGGGCAACAAGTAATGCATCAAAAATACAGCTCAATGGCAGCAATTTTCATGCCTGTCACGCAACTCTTGACGCGCACAGGCATTCCGGGAAGGGGCGGGTCACCTCGTCCAGAAGTATCTGCATGATCGCCTCTGTTCCCAGTGCCTCGGCAGCAATGTGCAGCGCTGTGTTCCCGTTGTCATCGGTGATAGTGACATCGGCACCACCGTCGATCAGAGCCCGAACCACAGCCAGCTCGTTTTGTGCAGCGGCAAGAATCAGAGAAGTGGCGCCACTTTGAAATGTCTGAGAGTCTACGTCCGCTCCAGCATCCAACAGTATCTGTGCGAAATGGCCACATGTTAGGAAGGCAACTCGACACGTTGGACATGCCCTCGGAACTGCATTCTGATATTCATGTCGACGTCACAGCAGCACATGGAGAAGCCTTTGAGTCCCAAAGTGGAGCAGGAATTACGCCCAAATCATGGCAGCAGGCACGGCCACATGCGAAGCAATTCGGGGCAGGAAACACGCACACATATATGGGCAGAGGTGCCGATTGTACCTGCATCACGTTGAGGCGCCCATGAAATGCGGCCAAATGCAAGGCAACGACACCCTCTGTGGACCTCAGTTCAAGGTCTGCGCCAGCCTCAATCAGCAGTTCCCCTACGTCACTGTGGCCGAATACAGCAACCAGGTGCAGTGGTGAATGCCCGTCCTCCCTTAAGGTATCTGGGTCAGCGCCCGCCTCCAGCAGCACCATGGCTATCTCTTCCAGGCCTCTTGTGGCTGCGACGTGGAGTGCCGTGTCACCATTAGGTCCTGGCTCGTTGACGTCCGCACCATCCTCGATGAGTTGCTTCACCGCCTCCACGTCCCCGGACGCGGCGGCATCATGAATCGTCTGGCGATGATTGCAACACACATTTGTGAGGAACCCATCCACTGCACCAGATCACCATCGTTCCCTACTTTTTAGTTCAAGAGTGCTACATGCATTTGACCATAAAGATTTGGGAAAAGATGCACTTTTTCTCAAACCATTCATAGCAGCGGTACAAATGGCTGACGATGTGCTCATTTAAATTGTTTACTCCTTGTGATCACCTGTTGGCCTCTCGTCCTAAGAAACTCGTAGGTCTTCCAAATGACCTCACAGATTTGAAGACTTCCCATATGAATGGCATGAAAATGCACTACCGTGCGCCGCAGGTGAATTCAACTTATAGCTGATCGAAACAATGCCCAACACAATCACAGGGGCCATTTACTGTGTGAGCTGCCAATGATGTAAAGGCAGGCCACGGAATGTCACAACAACACAATTCTTGCATTTTCCCGCCGCCTCAGATGGGCTCTGAGCAAAGAAATGAGGTAATGGAGGACAACCAGCATGTTGAGAGTGTTTTGCTACCCATCGGCTACAAGGACTCCGGTATTGTTTCTAAGCAAATTCAACACCAGGTGTTGAGTAATGCTCAGCACACATCCCTGACAGCGATCCGTGCACAAGAATCAGGGATTCGATGTCACCACAAGGTAAAATCTGTGCAATGCACATTTCAAGGTGAAACACTCCTGCAAGGTACTTCCTGCACGGCAATTAGATATATTGTCTTCAATATATTGTATTCAATATATTGTAGTATATATTACAGCGGTAAGATTTTGAAGCCACCTCCTTGACATTGGCACACGTCTGGTGCATCTGATGATCTGCAGTCAAATCACAGCAGAATATGGCAGCATAATGGACTCCAACACCACATAGATGGGAGAACATTCTAGACCGATATGCATATGGATTTCTTACTGCACCTGCACCATTCTTACTATCCAAACCGGGCTTCGCAGCTTATTATCCAAAGGAAGAAAGATTCGGCCAGACTGATTTGAGGTGCAGTCGTAGGCTACCAACAGCAAAGTTCAAACCTTTGTCTGAATCGTCTGAATTGAAAATCGAGCCCAGTAGACTCGATGGAATTCGACCGAATCCACCCCAAGCTGGACCCTGGTACCTACTGAAACAAAGTTCTAGCATGAGGTCGGCAGCTTCTGGGAGCATCCCCACCGAAAAGCAAAGGCATCACACAGAAATGGAGGCCTTCCATGATAAGCGGGACGGGATGGTTTTATCGCTCTAGTTAGGTTTGCTATTTTAGGGTCAAGGTCTCCTTGGAGATACTATAGTGATGTTCATGGCCACAGCGGTCAAGCTGGCATACAAGATTATGGACAAGCTGAAAATTGTATAAGTTGAACAAGGTTGAAAGTCAATTAGGACAGGATTCAGCTTCTGTAATAATGCCACGCTCAGATTCTGCAGACCTCAAAACATAGCTCATCGTGAACTTTACAAAAAAAGGCAGGGAGGTAGCTGTCATCTTGCCTGAGCCTGGCAACATCAATCATATGGTCTTTGAAATCTTATGTATAACACAAAAAATGCCGGAATCCGTCAGTTCCTAATTTAGGAGCAGTGCTTGTTGAACACAATTCATGAAAAGAGGAATTTGCTGTCCACTAAGAACGCAACACAATCCACACAGTAACTGAAACCGTCTTTCCCATGTCACTGAACTCGAGGGAATAATGCTGCGCTCACCTCTTCACCTCCAGCATCAGAAAATAGGGCCCTTAGTGCATCGATATCCTCCTGGTCGTCGCAGTTGCCAACAGGACATCCCAGCGTGTTTGGATCGGGTTCTAAATCTTTGCATCCGCAAACGGGTACTGCGTTTAGGGCTGGGTCCGCCCCCTGTAGTGCAGCATATGACACAACGGTGGGTAGTCAACAAAGCAGGCGAGTACATCCGTGGCTGGCGGCTTCGCCCACATAGCCCCACAATCGATCAGCAGGCCCTTGGGGATGAGACGGGCTGCTTCTCCTCGCTTAGATCATCGTGCAATTGTGTTGTGAGGAGGGAATCAGCAGATCGGGGTGCAAAATGCAATACAGAAAGCAAATACGACTTGATGATTCACAATCGCATACCATTTGTACAACTTGATAGGCTTATTGGCAGGCCGCAGCCCAATCCACGGTTGAGTAGCTGAACTTGTGTGATTTCATTGACAACGCACTTCTGTTTTGTGGCCAATTATGTCAGCACTTTACATCGCATTGCAGTGTCTTCTTAGGTGGATAAAAGGCCCAGGTTTTCTATTAGCAAGGAGTTGGCACGTGATTTACAATCCGCTCAAATAAAAATGACTTGCGCCGTGTTTACCACCACGACAACAGATACATGAACCTAGTATGCATACTTGCAATGTTGAGACATCGTTCAAGAAATGCCCCCATATAGTAGACTAGCGCAAAATGCAGCACCATTTTAAGCAGCGTACAGAAGACAAGGATGTTGAGCAGAAATTACCGCATGATCCCCTATTGGGCAAGAAATTGACCAGGGATTTAGATATGGTAGTTCAATATGGTTTGAAATCAAAAGCATAGCAACCAACTATCACTACACAGTGCTGCCAAAAAGCCACTTTCAAATGGTGTCCTGCGAAACAAAGAAACGCAGTCCCTCACCTGCTCTAGAAGGAACTCGACGTTCCTCTTGTTTCCCCAAAACGCCGCTTCGTTCACAGCAGTGTCCTCAAAGTCGCTCTTGGCATCAATGTCTATCCCTTCGTCGAGGCCAATCTCCAGGACAGCGATGTTGCTGGGAAAAATGGCACCCAGATGCAAGGCTGTGCGTCCTCTGGCAGTAGCATTGGGATTTGCTCCCTCAGACAAGAGCAGGCGAAGAATCTGAGGATGCCCAAACAACGCACCTACCAAAAATGGGGTTTGCATCCCAGTTGTTTCAGCCTCGATGTCAGCGCCAGCATCCAGGAGGACCTGCCGAGCGAAGTGCAAAGCCATTGACTTGCCTCCAATATACCTTGCTCGCAACCCATTGCAGATTACTGCGAATCCAAAGTGCATATCACAGCTCCCGACTTTGTGTAAGCCAAGGGCAACGCACCCAGTCATTCATTGGTGATTGAAACGGCTTTCCACCAACAAAAATGCACAGCGGTGGCAGTACAGGGTGAGAGTGGAACAAACTTGCCTGCACAACTTTGGTTGAGCCGCCTCGGCATGCAAGATGCAGTGCTCTTTGTCCAGATACGTTCGTTAGGGAAATGACAGCCCCTCTTTCGAGCAGCAACGCCACAATTCTGTCGAATCCGTTTATCGCAGCGGCCATGAGAGGTGTGAACTGATCAAGTACCCTGCCATCCACCTCAGCTCCGGCATCTAAAAGTGCCTCTACAATAGCAATGTTTCCACCAGCAGTGCGGATGGCATGGACAAGCGGTGTAAGTTCTAGATCATCCTGAAGTTCCAAGTCTGCTCCTGCCTGCGCATCACACAAGGTACCATCCATCAAGCCAGAAGAACAACAGCTAATTAGCATTGTGGATAATACAGAAATAGCATCCATGCAGATCGTACCCCCCCACCCCACCCCCCCCAACCGCACACCACACCCCCGTACAGCTGCATTCCCAGTGGTCACATGTAGGATATTGTGCATTTTTACTGAGGAATCCCAATTCAAGCTCGCATAACAGTACATCAACCGCCCCAAAAGAACTGTCACTCACCATGCATGGCGGCTTGACCACATGCATTTGCAAGAGCAAAACTTGAGGTCAAAAGCAAAATTCAATACCAAAAGAGGAAGTAAAACAGCCCAAGCCATTTTCAAATTGCAGAAACATGTGGGTGCTGTCCCGTCTGTTTGCATCTGAACAGGGCTCGATTTTCCCAATTTCACGTGCCCGAATCCAGTTGAGGGTCCATGTCGTCCTGGCCATTGCAACCTGCCCTGAGGGTCCTTGCTCGGTGCTCTGGTTCAGCACACTGGAAAGTGTGTCTGATGCAGTCTTAGCTGTCTGTTGCACTGGGTGCTTGATGCAATTCATTTGTTTTCAAGCCTGCAGGCAGTTAGACCCTTGATTCTGTATTCATGCTGCCAGTGCTGTTAGTAATAGCAGTACTCAATATTGTAATGACTACACCAGCAGCAGACATGATTCAAATGAATGGAGCATTTTATGGCTAACAATATATAGCTACATCATGGCAAGGGAAGAATTCTGTAACAGCTACAAGTGCTCAGGTATGAGGAGTATGTCAATTACAATGGCCAAGCCCTGTGAACATGCAATGGAACAATGCGAACGATGAATTAGAGATTACCTCAGCAAGAGTCGTGACGGAAGACACTTGCCCAGCAGCAGCTGCTGCACCTATAGCTGTGATGCTGCCTTCCCCCTGCTTGTCTATATCAGCACCAGCATCCAGAAGAGCCCTAATTCACAGCAGTTGCACTCACTTTTCACATCCGTGGATCTCAAAGCCAATTGACTGTTTAATGCGACACACTTTTCAGGAACTGGGATCGGACACTGACTAAGATACCTCTCATTTATTTTCTGTAATTTTATTCTACAGTGTATGAGTTTTCGACGTGGATTGCGAAGATGCAGAATGACGACTTCATTCTCCAATAACAAACAACAGACACGGCATTTGACTGCAAGTGCCCCTGCATTACTGCAACTCAAACTCAACCTATCATCATGTTTGTTAAGCGTGGGATCTGAACTGCTTGTGCTTTACAGAAATACACGCAATCAATGGTTAGGCTTGGGCAACTTCAGTCATTTTTTGCATAACGCTGATGTTCCCTGGCGATATCCAAAAATTTTCAACTTCTTGGAAAAGAGATGAGAAATTCAGTCCAGAAAAGGGCATAGAGGGCATCAACTCCTCTTTGGAGAAGAACAGGATTTGTAAATTGCAAGCAACAGGTCTAAAGCAAGTCACACAGGGAATCGGACAGAAACTACACGTTAATGGAGTTTTCTCTTAATGTGTATATTTAGAAATCGGGATGGTTTATGACATTGTTGATGGGCCTTGCTGTAATGAATTTGTTGGTGTGCTTTCTGTCAATGTTGCTGCAGTGCCCATGCACCAACGACTTACTAGCAACAATGGCCGTGACTTTGAGGTGCTTGGCGATTGACACAATGAAAGAACTCATGCTACGTTAGCATCCCTAGCACAAGGGGTAGTGTTGCCAATGGAATATTGATGTGCAAGGCCTGTAGCGACATTGACAGGAAGTGCATCAGCAAACTCATTTTAGCAAAGCCCCTCAAAGTTGCTGTAACTGGAGCCTGTTTTCTGGATGCAGTTGGGTTTAAAACAAAACTATAAGTTTATATTCTGTCTATCAGGGTAATGTAAATATATAGTTTCTGCTGGAACCTAATCAGCTGCCATGCACACCCAATCTTCTCACACATACCTTATTACGTCAACGTGGCCATTGGAAGCAGCAAGAATTAGAGGCGTGTTTCCATTGTCATCGGTACCATCCACATCTGCGCCATCATCAATCAGGCGTGCAACTTCTTCCTCATCCCCAGATGCAGCTGCAGACAGAAGTTCCTGCATTCACAGTATCCCACTTGATCAAGACTTTCCTCACATTAATATGTCTATGAAACCCACCCTAAAATACAGCAATTTAAATACCTCATCTTCCGCATCTTGCAGTATGTTCCTTCCTCTCAAAAACTGTGGATGCTGCGCCAGAAGTTTGTTCCAGCCTATAGCTTGGGAGCCCTCCAGAGATAGGCCTGCATCAATTGGAAAGGGCGGAAAACCTCTGTTAATGCAAATGCGGTTGCATTCAAGGGCAGTGGTCATGGTACAACTCGTCAGAACAGAGAATACCACAAGACCGATTCCTAATTCTTATTCTACCTTTTCAACAACTGATAGATGCTGTTTAGTCGCGAACACAAGGCATGTCTGTTTTTCGTGATGTCGCCATTGGGATATCTTCTTGAGTGCCCATGAGGGGTGGACAACACGTTCAATGCAGCACAGCTGATACCAAGACTGAAAATGACAGATCTTGAAAAGACTTACAGCACACATGATCCTGTGTGATTAGTAGCAGTTCAATCTCAAATTCAGTGTCATCTTCTGGATAACATTTGCCAACTGCGTCCTCCAACTCTCTTTTTGACGCCTGGCAGGTTAATCAGCAAAAAGGAGAGTGTCTATCGCCTTTTAGCCTGCCAATGGGAACTTCAAGTCGTGTTTACCCGTGTGATCCCAATGAACACGTTGGTGTCGACAGTAGCGTGGCATTTTCCGCAGCACAGTTTGCCGTGCTCGGTACGTGCTCTTGTTTATACGTTTCACAGGCTGCATCAGCCAAATGGTACGAGACAAGAAAACATGCACATTCATTGTCCTCAGTGACCTTGTATGTCGCCGCAACGACAAGGGAGGCCTCCGTTTACCTTGTGTCGCAATTGCACGGCAGCAAACAGACCCTGACGGAAAGAGCTTCGAGCAGAGAGGCGCAGGTTTGTTTCGCCAGCCTTCCCTATTTGGTGCAAATGGAAGGACATGGCGGTGGCCTTTCCGGCGGCAATTCGGCTGCCAAGTTTCCCAAATTGCCCACGGGAAAGGCACGGAAGGAAAATTGGCCAAGCCTGGCCTGCGGATTGAAACTTGCACCGCAGGCTCTATGACGGGGCAAGCAAAGACAATGCGCCTGGTGTCCAACGCGCACAGTCAGCCGGCGATTCCAGAGCTGACGCCAGTTCCGGGTGCCGTTCAGTGTTCACACTGATCTACATGTCGGTCGCGTCTGGTCCTTGTTCTGATGAGCGTCAACGCGAGGGGCCACTCGAAAGCTACGATTATCCATTGTCGCATCATTTGGACATCATATCAGGTTGTCGATGCTTGAAGCATGACATCATTCCTGCGAGAGGCAGTCGATCGGCTGCCCACGTCAAGAATGCCAGCGCAAAGGTGGAAGCTGCTCAGGGAGAAGTACCTGTGAACGGTGTCGCTGTGGTCCCTTGCGCTCGCGACGGAGCCGGGAGCGTTGGACGGCATTCTCAGGGCCTCGCCTGGCCTCGGAAAAGCCACTCCTAGGGAGCAAATGCGCAGGGCCATCGTAACGAAGCGCCCAGGGCTCACGCACCTCGGTTGCATGGCCGCCGCGTGATTCAAACCCCAATAGGAGTTTTGTCAACAATAGCCCAGGGGGATGCTCCCGGGACAGATCACTTCCCAGGACCATGATTTTGCCGCAAGCTGCGGTGCGAGGCTCATGAGGAGCGCCCCAGGGACGAACTACGTCTGTTTGATCTGAGCCGAATGGTCACTTTGGCAATGTCGTGCGCCCCAGTGGCGATCCTGTCGCGCAAACCCACAGCCGCGCGGATGTGCCGTGCTCACCAGGTTCCAGAAGGCGCCTGCCATAGGCCAGGTCTTGCAAGGATCGCAGGCCGTCGTCCACCCGGGGGTCCGACACCGAGGCCGCCGCTGGCGAGAAGGTGGCGACGACAAGAAGGGCGGCGGCAAGCATGGGCGACGCGTGGCCCCGCCGCGGGCGCTGCCGGCCGACTCCGGCGGCGAGAGGCATTTGCGCCGGACGCCTTGCCTGATCGAGGGCTGGCAGAAGCCGGCTGCTGGTGGAAGAGGGGTGTCTGGGTGTCATCCCAGGTGCCTGGCTCTTGCAGCCGGGTGAACTTCGCCTGATGCATCATCCTGACGATGCCGGAAGCCCTTTACCGGCACCAGGCCCGGGATTGGTTCGCTCACCGTCCACGCGTCCGTTGCTTGGGGCGACGAATCCCCGCGAAACACCAAGATCTAGGGTGATCCATCCGACGACGGACAGCGCACCGACCCATTGGGACCATGCATCAGGCAATGCCGCACGAATGGAACAGGAAGACGACATCGGCGGTCTTCTAGCACTGAAGTGTGACATGCGGTCTTGGCAGGGAGCGTTCAGAAGCAGTGGCGCTGTTGCGGCCCACGGGCCGTCGCGGCAGCATCCGTCATGGCAATTCTGTCCTGAGTGAGAACATGAATCCCGCCGCGGCCCTGGCCTAGAAGGCAGTCCGTTACAAGAATCAGCCACGCAGAGGACTTCGCGGGCAGAGGCCCTTGGCGGTAAGCCGAGGACAGACCGTCGAACGCCCATAGTGGAGACACCCCCCCAAGGCACCTGGGTGACACCGTTGGGGACAAGCCAGGACCCAAACAAAATATGCATCGTCGCATAAGTTGACTCAAATTATCAACGGCGATGATTGGCAGTCCCTGTCAAAGGTTATGACAGAATTCCCTCCTGTTTGGGTGACAGCATGTCGAATTTGTTTTGTGCAAAGACAAATCGACCCAAGGGGGTGGGTTGGTGGGTGGCCTGTGGGTGGGAGTCGGGGTGGGGTGGGCCGGCGGCAACAGTGCTTAGTGTCCATTGAGCACTGAGCATAATAAAAAATTGCGTCCAGCCCAACGCGAGCCCCAAACCGCCTTTTGGCCCGGTCAGGAGATCCTAAACAGCTGAGGGGGCCCTTTAGCCCTATGTATACATTCTGCACATCCAGATGCATTGACACGAGTCATGCCAGCGAGCGCCCAGAGTTACTCAATGCCATAGTGGCAATGCCATACAGAGCATTGGACGCTACTTATTTCCAATACTGTATGGAATAATGCATCGAAAATCGACCTGTGTCCACAGATTCCCACAGTCAATGTCCGCAACCCACACTCGGCTTCTATCCACTGCATCGCGCAGTGTGCGCAAGGCCACCAAACCACATCGTACAGCAGGGTGGTACACCCTGGCCTTCCACTAGCCACCGAATCAACCATAACCACTGAATCCGAGCCCCAGAGATGGCTCCTATGTGCGTATGTGCACTTGAGTACCCTGTTGGGATCGTTCCAGCGGGCTCTGAGGCGACGCCATGTCGCCGTGCAAATCAAAGAGAGCGGTTCTCCACATCCATTAAGGGCTGTTCGCACCAGTGCAGCCAGTGCAGCCAGTGCAGCCAGTGCAGCCAGTGGAACTACGAGCAGGCGCGAGATACATGTACAATCTGACTGTGATGGCAGTCCGGATTAGTACCAATTTCGGTATGGAATCCGGCATCGTCGAACACCCTTGCAACTCGCCTTCTGTAGGGCAATGTCACACCATCTGGATACGGACAGTCCCAAAGTCAACGTTGGGGTTGCATCTGAAATGCATCGATGATCTCTCTGTCTACAAATGCAACACCAAGCCGACCCTTAGTTCTTTCAAGCCGGTCCAGGTTTTGGGCCTTCTTGGACCATGTGGACCAGTGGCATCCATCCATCGAATTGCCATGATTTCCAGTGGAACCACAGAATCCGTGCCCACCGGCAGTTCCGTTCAGTGCCGATCCCAAGCGGAAGCCAGAATTGGTCCCCGATTGAACGCTCCGAGTCTGCGTCCGAGCTTGAGCCAGCTGGTCTTGGCCATCTTCAACCCAGACTGTGAGGGTCAAGTTCTGCCTGTCAAGACACATGGATATGGTCCAGGCCCTATTGCCTTCTCCAAATGTCGTTTCTTGTCCGACATTGACACGATGGGCCCTGCAGCGGTCATCCAAGCTCGCAAGGTGCCACTTCTCGAAATGCACGTTGCCATGCAACAGCAAACAAGCTACCATATGGGGCCCCGCTTTCATATTGTGGCTATCAGACGAGCCATTGCATCGAAGGTGCTAGAGACGGTGGTGTGCAGGTGGTGGTTGTCCAGCCAGTGTTGCTGGTGTTGGGATGCAGTGAGTTCAGGTTACGAAATTGCGAGGCCATGCCGAATGCAAAGTCCAACGATCCAAGGGATGAGCGACGCCCGTGATCATGAGACATAGTTGTTTCCCAAGGACAGCATCTCAAATGTCCATGCCTGTTTTGTTCTTACACACTAATCTAAATACATTAAGGAATATTCCTCACTCCTACCTTGCCACTCATCTGTCACGATGGCATACTCTGGCCACCCCACACAGTGATTCAGTGACGCAGGAGGTACGGCGCCCTTGACATCTCGAACAGAAACGAAACCAAATAAACTAACATTCACCCCTCCTGCCTTCACCACTGTTGGTTAATCTATCATATGTGTTGCTAGTAGCACATCGCGGGCTGAAGAAGGGCAAATGTTCCACTAGTGCCTGAAATGCCTAATACCTGTTGTCACCAAGGCTACTCCATATTTATTGCAGCAGTCAACAGCATCTTGATCCCTCATGCTGCCACCCGGGTGGGCAATCGCAGATACACCCGCCTGGCAGGCCTTCTCAACTGCATCTCCCCAGGAGAATGGAAAGAAAGCATCACTGGCCAGAACAGCACCCTAAGATGCAAATACATGCACATGGTCAGAATCGAGGCAACAGAGCGGTCCATTAAATGTCAAACCGAATCCCGCAATCGTGCAAGAGTTCAACATAACTCGCATACTGATGGGCAGGGCTTCAACACAGCATGGGTGGCCATAACATGTGATGTCATCCTTGCCCAATCCTTTGAGAATCAGATTATCTTAGGGTTTGTCTCAGAGACACCAACAATTTGAGGGACATATCCAACTTGCCCCCAGATGAAGCTCTGATGGGCATGACGGCTTTGCAACAAATGGAAAAGCATTTGCTGTACAAGACTGCCAGCTATAGATGCAGAGCATACACATGCAATGGGCAGGAGCAGCAAAAATTACACCATGCCACCACTAGAAAACATGAAGAAACATGGAAAGTTTAGGAACGAAAGAACCATCGCCAATCAAGCTGCTCACTTCGTGAGGCTTGGTGCAATTTGGGGCCTGTACTGCAGCAGCTTCTGACAAGTGCAAAACTTCCTAAATGTTAAGCAAGTCAACACAATTTTGGGCAGATGTGGCCATGCTTTTCAAGCACGGACCCTCCCGCAGCTTGGTTGCCTCCCTTTACCTTAATGTCTGATGCTGCCTTCTCCATCGCTATCTCCACACTCTTGACACGATTGGGCTGCCCACTACCCATGCCCAACATGCGCTGTTCCTTGGCAATGGCAATGGCATTACTCTTGACATGCTTAACACAGATCCATGCAAACTTGAGGTCGTCAAGCTGCTGTTCAGTGGGATGTACCTCTGTGCACAGTGCACAACGTGCTTATTCAGCATCAGAAAAGGAGCGGGGGGAACAGCAGCCAGCAACCTTTTCTCTTTTTAATGAACCTCCACAAAATCAACGCACAGCTCTTGCAGTGATTTCCAAATCCAAAAGTTCCATGACAACAAAACTCTCACACCAGAACTTGATTAATGGTGTTTGCCACGAGCACATGAACAGCATATATGATGGTCACTCATGTGACAAACAACTCCCAGTACGGAACAAGCACACTTGCGATCAAGAATCCTGCAGAATTTTCAGATGATCACAGACTGTGGCAGAACCCAGTCTTAAATCGACCAATGCTAGTCCTTCTGTCAGCAATATACTGATAGAATTTGTACTAGTACTTTGCCCCTTCTTGTAACTGCTCACCCTGGACATACCTGATTGAATGGTAAAGGTGATCTCGTCTGGTGTCAGGGCATCTTCCTCTTGGTACAGCCAACCTCCAGAAACTTGCCTGAGAGCATTTCCTGTTGGCAACCTTGGCTTCGCCTCCAATATCCGCAAGGTTTTTGACTTGCCTTTCAAAATTTTCAAACCCTGTACTGCACAAAGAAGATCAGCAGACAACTATAGGTGCACAAAAGGTGTGCCCTACACAATGCGACACAAATGCACAATGCATGCAACAAGAGCTAATTGCACAAAAGGTTTTCAACAATGAGTACATACTGCCGTTGCTGGTGTTTATCAGTAATGAGCAACTTCTGTCTGACCTAATCTGCACGTCCACATACAGTCATCTCCGCACACCGGCAAATAGCCCAACAGCACCCAGCAAACTCACAACAAACATATACTGAAAGCAGAAAACAGCACCAGGCAGTGGATCAGCACCACCAACTGATGGGCTGGCTGAACCCAGCTCCTACAACAGCCCCACAGTGAAGAACTGGAGAATATGCGTCCCACTTTCACCACTTGCAGGACAGCTGCTGCATCGACTTGCTGTCTGTGGACATGGCCATATACCAAACTAGATGGACACTCTTTTATGCTTGTTGCTTGACCACAATCCATGTTCACCTCAGGGGTATAGCTGGGGCCAATCACAATTTCATAAAACATTCTCGTGCTTCCATCGGTTGGGCTCCTGAACTCCCGAATCTCCCGAGCAAGAGCTTCATCCACTGTCCGGTTGAAGGCAACAATCCCACCGAAGGCACTGATAGGATCACCTTGAACTGCACATCGATAAGCTTTGCACAAATCTTGCTTGCTGTGCAGAGGGTCAAGTTTTCAGTGTCAAATTCCAGCCTTACACGCCAGCAAACACAATATGGTTCCTTTGCAAGTGATCAAGACAGTTTGACCAAACCATGAAGTGACTGGCAGCGCTCTGCCTGCCAGGCACTCATGACAATGGCTGGTGTTGCATGCTATCTTGCCACACACAATGGCTGCTCTCGAATTGTCAAACAGGTGACCTCAGCAAGGGGCGAAGATCCAAGCACCTGTCCTGCAGTAGGCTGCAAGCATTGCTTCCATGCTTAGAGCACAGATGACAACAAATTGTGTTCTAGTGTCCACAGGACACTAACAAGACCAGGCCACACCTTCCAACTCCGCAAGGATTTGTGTGTTTGACAATCACACATGCCTCATTTGGAAAGTCGCAAACAGCTGCATAAGCTGCTTCAGCATCCTGTGCAAGGGAACGAATCGCTCAGACAGGACTGTCACACTTCAACATACATGGCAGGTCCAATAAAACCCACGCTCAACAACAAGGTGACCAATATTGGATTCAGAGCATTTATTAGCACTTCCCTCAGCTTGTACTCAAAGATGCAATCATCATGATTATGAACACAGCTGGCGATGTTGGAATCTGCGCACCAAGTAGTTATTGTATGACATCTCCTTGCCATGGTGCAGCACAGCTGTTGCCAGTCCCCCTTTTCCAGATTTGCCAAGGCTCTGGTCCATATAGAATGCTGCCGACTGATGGGGATTCTCTCCATATCGCAGTGAAGCACCCCTCTGCATTGGAACCACGAGTGCAGGAGGCGACAAGCCATCACCCACTTGTGACCAGAGCCACTCGCTGACTTGAGCGTCATAGGCTGCACAATGCTGTCGCAAGCAGCAAAGAAATGCATTCATACAGTGACCCAGTGAAAACCACTGTTCCTGGGGAAAGGAGAAAACAAGGCAATAATGCAAGTTGCTAGAGCTGCACCCCATCCTTCGAGCAATGCTCAGCACTGAGCTGTGAAAAAGGTACTTCAAAAAGCACCAGTTTTGGCATGGACTGCCTTTGCAGGACTACTGATGAGTTCATAAACTGGGCAATTTCTGAACTAATACATTTGACACCGCACAGACCATGGCAAACTGAGCTGCTGCAATCTTTTAGGAACTTCTGGTGCTATTCCCAATAGGAACACCATGTCATGCACCTGAAATGCCTTCCACGCCAACTGTTTTTTCAAGTTAGCCATTTCCTCCCCCTTGGGTTCGCGGCTCAGGACATCGATGAAGTGCCTGTAGTCCTTGGGATCCACCAGGACAGCAACATGCGCCAAGTTTTTTGCTGCAGCTCGAATCATAGCAGGGCCGCCGATGTCGATATTCTCAACCCCTGTTTGAAATGAGGGTGCAGGTTCTGACAGCACTGTTTCTCTGAATGGGTACAGATTCACTATCACCTGCGATGTACACAGACTGTGCTTCTGAGATCTCATTGCCAGCCCATTTCCAAGCTGTTCTCCCATAACGAAATGCACTGCATGGAGTTGAGGGAGTCACTGGCTGCCAGCATAGCATCAATGCACTCTTACTCTCCTTTGCATCCATAAATCTTGGCAGGCACATGAAATCAAACAGGTGGTGTGCTGGGTAGACAGGCATCCAGACAAGCAGACATAGTTTGCTAGAAACTACTTTGCATGCTAAGGATGTCAGCAGACTGGCATGGGTTCACAGCACATGCAAGTACTTCTTTTATTCGACACAATTGCTATTGGTTATGGCAGCATGAGTTGCTGTTGGTGCTTTCTTCAGCAATACAAAGTTCACACATGTGCTACTACTACTGCAGTCTGCCCATTTTGTGCCTTCCCCACTACAGGGCAGTGTAGTTGTACAAGTGCATGCAATACAAACACTGTGTACAAATTCCAACACCAATATCAGGGTCATGTGCATTTGCATGAATGGCAGCTAATAATCACCAGCCATGATATATTGGACCAGAGCGTGATTGACAGCCACCAATTAAGTCTCACCACATCAATTTTCTGTATGCCAAGCCTCTGGATCGTGTCCATATCATCTGCATTGTCCCGCCTTGCCAGAATCCCACCGTGCACTGCTGGATGCAGTGTCTTCACTCGACCTACAACACCGCTGTGGGGCAGCCTTATTCGCTTGCATTCTTGCAGATTGAGATTGCAGCATGCACAAAGTGGGTTGATTGCAACGCCCCTAGATTGCTATTGTGATAGTCAAATAAACAATTTACAAAAGAAGCAATACCTTTCTGAACACATCTCCTGTTCGCTTGCGCCTTTGCTAGTCCCAGAGACAATGAACGTCAGTTTGTCATGTCTGGGTGTCCCTTTTCTGTGTGGATTTCCTGGGTTCCTTTCTCTCTGTTGTTATTGCAACTTGGTATGAAACCCAGTGATGCTCTTGCTCATTTATCCAGAAGCCAAGCTGAGTTTTCCACTCTGTTGTCACCATCAAAGATCTTCTCTGCAGGCTGCTGCCTGCATTGTTTCAAGGGGGGAATTCTTCCCTGCTCGACAAAGACTCTTGAAGAAGAGGACAAGCCACGACATTTGGGCAACTTAGAAACATGGAACATTTTGCTGCACATCGACAGGTTGCAGAGGTCTCATAATGTGCGAAGAAATGCATGCAGCTTTGCATCCACCACAGAAAAAGAAAACCCTTGATGCGAACATTGAAAGGAACAGCAGCCCATGAGCCGCCCACAGCCAGCTCTTTACACAGATGACGAAACAACCGCTAGCCGACAAGTTCGTGAACATACCATCGAGCATTTCTGGGAATCCTGTGAGCTGTTCCACTGATGTGACAGGTAGGCCAGCGGCTTGAATCGCGGCTGCAGTGCCACCAGTAGACACGATGTCATAGCCGGCGGCAAACAAAGCCTGGAAAGCCCATGCCCACGTTAGTGGCACATTTCAGTATCTTTGTGGGGCAGTGGTATTACAAACCCGATGTGCGGCACTCCACCACCCAAATGTGCATGTTACGCAAGAGTTGCCCTTTCCAACGCTTGCACGACATTACACGCGTGGTATCGTTGTCTGATGTGAATGCAGTTTGTGAATGCGCCCCACGTTGCGCCAAAGTGGAGGAACCGACACCCGCTCCATCCCTTCCACCCGTCTTCACAGCCGCGGGCAGTCGATCGGTCCAGCTTCCGCACGCGCAATCGCACCTCTGCCACCTCCTCGAGTCCGGTTTTGTCGGACACGGATATTACTGCACGTGGAGCACTGCCGACCGACGTGCCTGGTGCAAAACGTCCATTAGCCTGCATCCCGCTTCGACTGCAGTCAAGCCAGACGACCCCCACGACCAAGGCAATCACGCTGCGCACGTCCCACGGTGAGATTTGCGCTCGAACAAACTGCGGAAGGCCGAATGCTGGGCCTCACCTTGCGGCGACGACTTGTCGACTTCTTCGGACGCCATCGCCGCAATCACAGCGCCGGACGTTCCCCTGGACGGACCGCAGCTGAGCATCAGGCAACCCGAGGCGGAATCGACTCGCTTGGAGGCGCTCTGTGCTGGCCATGGCCGAGGCGAAGGCAACGGGAGTGCGTCCCGATGGCGCACCTCGAGGGGTTGGCGGGGCAGGCAGCCCAGCGGCCGCCACGACAAGGAGGCCCAGTGGGGGATCGAACTTTGGCGCCGGACACAGACGCCAGCCTCGCGATGCGGATCTGGGAGCACGGGTGACCGTCCACGGGGTTCAAAGGCGGAGAGGCCATCCCTGCGGCGGCGGCAGGGTGCCGGTCAGGACGGCTGCGCGGACCTGCGGCATGCCTGCTCCGCCAGAAACTGCGTCAATTTCCATGTCCGGGCTCGGGATTGCATTTGACCATTGAGCCTTGCGCGCATTATTAGGGCCCCAGGCGTGGGTCAGGGGGCCCAAGCCGCGACTGTGCAGAGTCTGCACCATGGCGGGAAGGGACGAGCACGGCGAGCGGGGGGGGTCCGACGCCGCTGTCAATGGCCCTGCGGTGGCGCAGATCGTCAAGATCGGCGGCGCTGCGCTGACGGACAAGGGGACGCCGGAGTGCCTGCGGGAGGGGGCGCTGAGGGACACGGCGCGGATGCTGAGGCGCGTGATGGACGGCAACGGACCCGCGCGGCGCCTCGTGGTCGTGCACGGGGCCGGATCTTTTGGCCACATCCAGGCCAGTAGGTCGGGGGTGGCGGGAGGCGGCCTCGACAGCGACGCCGTCAGGCGTGGCTTTGTGGAGACCAGGTGCGCGTCCCTGTCGGCGAAGCGACGGCTGATCTCGCCGCTCTGCGGACCTCGCGCTTGTGGGGACCTCTGCATCTCCAGGCCTGCTCTTACAGCCGCTTCCCAAGGGCCATATCCCAACGGCCGTTTGGTGAATCCCCTGTGCTTTCCTTGCAAACGTGCGTTGATCCCGCTCTGTCGGTCCCATCCCTTTGCCAAGAACGCCTTCCGCCGTCCGCCGTTTGTCCCTTTGCTCCAACTGTCGGCCGCGCGGCTTTTCGTGACTCTTCTGCAGCACGCTGCTGTCTGTCAAATTGGTGTTCCTGAACTTGATCCGAATCCTTGTTACCTGCGCCATCCAGGCTTTCGGTGACAAAACTCAATCACCACGTGGTTGCTGCGCTGGCCAAAGGTGAGAACAGCCTAACGCCTCTTTGCACAACACCCCTCCGCACCCTGTTGGCGATCTGATGCACATTGTGTAGCGAGTAACACTTCCAACGTCCCTTGGGACTGGTCGCCATCCCTATTTCTGCCGTTCATCCATTTCGTTTGTGTGCTCAGAGGGTCTACCGGCAGTGGGAGTGCCGATATGTGGCTACTGGACGACTTCTAATCGGCAGGCAGGTACTGCTGGACAACGAAAACTTCGATTTCGCCACACAACACATCAGCTTGTGGCGGAGTCATCTTGCTGTGAGCTTTGGGCAGCAGAGGTCATTTACTTGCTTGACTTGCAAGCTTGCTGAACTACTGGTAAACAAGGTAGTACCCATCTAGCAGCAAAGAGTGAGGCTGATCTCAACTGCAAAGGGAGGGCATGCCCAATACCAGTGACGATCTCGGCACCGCTGCAATGCTGTGTTGTGCTTCCATGCACAGGTTGCCAAGGATGGTTGTCAGGCTGTTGTTGAGCTGTTACGTGCTGGCTTCCTTCCAGTGCTTCATGGTGATGGAGTATTGGACAAAGAATTGGACTGCACGATTCTGAGGTGAGGTAGATCTGTGTGTCCCACACCATGCACTAACATCAATTGGCTGTCGCACACTGTGTCATACGCTTTACAGTAGTGTGTGGTTATGGGGTGGCTTTTGCATCCCTGAAACGAAACGACAACACAACTCACTCCTGTCAGTGCCAGGGACACAGTGACTTTCTCACTGGCACCACCATTCTCGCTCAAGGAAATTGTAGTTGCCACTGCATGCTTGTTGACACTCCCGATATGTGCTGGCATCTCGAACTGCACTTTCTTTTGCATGATTGGGGTGGACAGCCAGCGATCCCCTGCACAGGCCATTGTTCGGTGGCAAAACTTCACACCATATAGTAAGGAGCATCCTCAGGCGCAAATTGTTGAAATCCTTTCCCATTCAGCAGTAAAATATGTGGAAAAGTCGCCTTGTGCAGCTGTCTTGAATGGTGTATGCATGCATGCATGCAGCGGCGACGTGATCATCAAGAGGCTGGCTGAAGTGTTGAAGCCGCAATATGTTGTATTCCTGGTATGTATGGCAGCATCCAGTGTTCATCTGCACCTTTGTCTGGCGTTGCTTTGGCAAAGGAATGCAATGGCTCCCAAAATTCAAGCCATTCCCTTGTGGCGATGCAGAGCACTGATCCGCTAGCTTTGTGCTTGCAGACAGACGTGGCTGGGGTGTATGATCGACCACCATCCGAACGTGGGGCAGAACTGATCAAGAGGATATTCGTTGACTCTGGTGTGTCATCGGCAGTGGGAAGCACCTGGGCAATGAAACGACAACATGTTGATGTCAGAGAAGCCGAACACAGGGCCTAAGAACGTTATTGCTTCTTAGCTGTTGTGCATGGCAGGTGCTCAGGGATAACATGCTGTGTTATTCGCTGTGGCAGGTGATATGCCTCGCATGGAGACTGTCGGTATTGCAGAGTTCCAGTTTGGGGGAAATTGCAAGCTGTTCATTGTCCGCAAGATTGAGGTGCAGAACGTGTGTCACACAGGTGGGCAATGGAGTGCTGAAGGGGACTTCACCAACGTGAGAATGACTCCATTGGAACATGACACGACAGGTAGGGAACCTATTTGCTCAACTGGCAACATCATGGCAATGAGTTATTTGTGCATGAAAGCCGCATTGAAGTGGAATCCCAGTATGCAGTTGTTCGAGATTCGCTGTGCCGACCCCAGACGGAGACTGTTTCAAACGAATAGCATCGTAACTACGTGACTTTGAGTGCCATACGGAATACTAACCACTGAAATTGCCTGACGCAGTGCCTTTCAATCAGCAAGGGCCCACACCCCCTGTCAGATGCAAAAGAAATGCTTTTCTTAATCTTTTCCGCTTTGAGCCAGCGTAGCCACTCAGAGATGACAGATATTTTGTGAGCGCCTGGTTGGAAGGTATGAAACCCACCGTTCAAGAAATAGAGGGACAGAAGTGGTAGCATTTTATCTTCTTGTGCTCCTTACTGCTTCACTTAAATCTGAGCAAGAACAACAAATGTCCCCACAGTAGTAGGATGCCCTGAGCTAAAAGGTAATTAGCGTGTGTTACATTGCCTGGGCCGATGGGTACCAGCAATGGATGTGTGGCAGATGGTCATGGGACAGCAGGGTGAATGGCTGCCATGCTAAGAATTCACAAAAGCTGGTTTGCAGGTTGATTTCGCTGATAGAACTGCTCGTGATGCACACGGGAGGCTTGTGGGTGCAGACAAGATATCAAGCAGAAATTTGCAAACAGTCCCTGTGAACATTCGTGTTGCGCCTTTTGATTCACGGTGCACACTCAATATTTTGCTTTGAGATGTTCGCAGGAGGTATTGCTGCCAAAGTTCAGGAGGCAGCCAATATCGCCATGTTGGGAATCGATGTCATCATCGCGCAGGCAGGAAGCACAGACGGGGAAGATGCATGCCGGGATGGTTTGGACGTAGGGTCTTCCTGGATGGGCACTCAGGTCTTAGCAGCAAGGGGCAACGAGCACAGGTGCTTATGTGGGACAGATGAATAGCACAAGGACAACCTTCAAATGCGAACACTGGGCTACCAATCCGGTAACCTGAAGCTTGTGGAAACAGGCGCTACAACGTATTATTGTGTCGTATTCTGCGTTGAAGAACGTCTTTGTGGCGCGAACAATATGGAGCAAAGATGCAGAAATCTCAATAAACCGTCTTCCCAATTTGGTAATGCTTAGTGTCCCGAGCAAGTTTAGTTGTCTCTTGGCATCATCAAGTCCCTTGTGTCTGTTGCCGGTCACAATTTGCCACGTTGACGCCTAGGATGTGAGTGGCAGGCCAACAGGACAGCCATTTTAGACTTTCTGTATTGTTGGGCATCCTCATTGACATCACATTTTCGGCTGGGTTATCCAAGGGACAGACGGTGCCTCCAGAAGGTGGCGGATGTTCTCCCTGTTGGTGATCTCTGTGGCAGCCCAATGATTGCGGAAGAAGCTTTTGGACCAAAGTTCCTGCAGTTCGTTGGCCGGTGGTGGTTGTTGAACGGTGGCTATTGAATCGCCGCCATAGTCTGTTGCTGGGAAGAATCTTCCCTTCATCTGCCCTCAACTGCCAATGACTCAACCACCAGAAGTCTCACCATGCGATTCGATGGCTGTTGACTGTCCATGACCGCTTGGTCTTGGAATGGGCGATCTTGAAACAGGCCCTCCACCGCATTGTGCCATGTACCTTACTGCGTTGGCTGTCCTTGCTCTCAGGAAGGGTAGAAATTGAAAGGGGTTGCGTGTGCACACAGCCGTACTCTGTCCTTTCACCACAGAACAAGCACAGAATGAAACGATATACCATCTGCATTGAAAATAAGAAAAGAACCAAATCAGATTGCAATAAAATATTCAGCCAATGCACTAGATCCTCGTGCGTCATGCGCTCACCATCCTGTTGCTCCATCCCAGTTGCTGTGCACAACACTCGGAGTGCCGCTTCCGCGCCAACACTCTGCAGTTAGATTGGGAGAAGCATAGTCAACGGTAATCGCCACCTCGTTTGCAGCCTGTTGCAAATGCTCGCATCCTTGCACTGGGAATTCCAGCCTGCATCACACGATGTGGGATGGCTATTTCTGCTGTCAAGTGACAGCTCCTAAAAGCAACCCATTTTGCCAAGCCTGCTGACCCACAGAAGTTGGTAAACGACTGTGCTGGGCCACCCAATAGTCAACAAAACAAACAATCCCAACTGCGCTGCATGTGCGCGCTGTGACAACTTGTCCATGCAATGCATGCGCCCAGGCACCAAATTGGACTATGGGGTATAAAGTTCCCAGTTAAGGCAGAATTCAGGCCAAAGCGCATGCATCCTATCAATCGTCAAGAATTTCGATCAAATCTTGATCAAATGCCCTTCCCGTCCTTCCCAAAGTTGCATCCCCCCCGCCGTTGGGGGCTTCGTCGCAAGTGGTCGCCTTCAACTCCTCAAGCCCTTTCAGAACCATCTTCATCGCATCTTCCGGAACATGTACACCAACCAGGCGCTGAGTGCTATTGGTCATTTGCAGGCGCACCACACGAAGCATTTTGTCGTGCTCCCTAGCCTGTTCCGTGAGTGCTTGATCGATCACGCCCCAAATCGGCAGGACCACGCCACCCAGAACATGGAGCTGCTTGATTCGGAATTTCTGCCTTCCCGCCGACTTATACACATCATTCCACAGTTCCTCGGCCGTTTCATCGTTCTCCAAGGGTATGTACCTGTCAGGGCAGTATCACAGGTTAAATTCCAGGTAGCAGCTGCGGCTGTGCATGCAGAAGAATTTGTGGTCCTTGTTCATATCGCGAGTCACATGCATATATCTGTTGAGACATCTAGGCATGATGCCACAGGCCACTGACGCTTGGTTTTCTGTACTGGTGCCCACGAGTTGCACTGGCTCGAGCGCGAAATTTGCGAACACTGTTCCTCTTGAACTTCTCTGGCATACAGTATTTGGGTAAGGGATAAATCCAGGTTCCAAGGGGTCGCAACACAATGTCTCTCTTGAGATGTATGAGTCACGATCAGCATCAGGCAAACTTTGATGTACGGAGTTTCTCCTGTGTAGAAACTTCATCACTGAAAACGCTGGGCCAAAGGAGACCTGAGCTGTTTGGCTGTTGCAAGGCGTGGCAAAATTGTCTGGGCAACCTGGCACTGGGATGGCACGACTGCAAAGCTTGCCGAGCTGAGCAGCTCAAATGATAAGCATCTGACTACTGGGCACATCATGAGCGACCCTAGTCGGACCAAACATTTGCTGACCTGCCACCTTGCCAGGCATAGTTCTACAGCAAAGCAGCACACTATGGACTATGTCCCATGCAACACTAAAGAGTCATAGTCTGTGTGGATAGCTGCAACATTGAAGCATATCCACAACCAGTATGCACAGTAGGCATCCCACAATATTGGCACGGAACAAAGAGAGTTCTTGTATGCTACCAGACAGCGATCGACCTCAATTGTGTCACGAATGGGAATAGTCACCTCTGCTTCAATTCGGAAGACTTCCATGGTTTGTGAGCAATCCCAGTGAGAGGGCGGATCATTTTTAACCTTGGCATGCTGCTGTCTGCATCATACAGTGCGAGCACTACATGGAGTACCCTGTGCCCACCGGGCTTGTTGCGGTAGAAGCCGCTGCGGCCTGTTCCACAACCAACCAAAAGGCGATCAAATCAATGATAGACTAGCCACCCAAGTTGGCAAATGCACCATTCTGATGGTACAACAATCTCAGCAATGGCTGTGCAGCTATTCACTGGGCAAGAGCTTGAAGAAATGGACAACCCAACATGCACAGTTAGGTACATCAAATTGCTTCAGCAGGTGCATTCTGTGGTCTTTCTTCAGTCATCCACACCACTTGTCTTGTGTTGCTGTCATCACTGACGGACACAACAGCCGATGGGCCTAGAGTTTCCACAAAGATCTTTTGCGTCCTGTCATCGGAGAATCCATGATGGACTTCCAAGTATCCACACGTAAAGTGTTTGCCTTCATTGCAGCCAGTAGATGACAAAAGAATCGATTTGCTTTCATTCCACTTTCCACAACAATGCTATCCAGGTTTTGGAGTACCGTTCCCACATGTGAACATGAATGAGTGCAGCACCGCAGGGTATGTATTGCATCCATCAGATGCACAGATCCACAAAACACAAAGATCATCCACACGATAGCACAAGCGAGACACACTAGCCACACCATCGTCTGCTGTGGCAGTGGTCTTTTTGTGTTCTTTCAGCATTTTGACAGCATCCTCCCAGCTCACGCCACGGTCCATGTGCACCCTGTAGTGCAGCGTCCTTCCATTGGAGAGCTCATCCACAAAGACAGTCTCTGGGTCGCCCTGCAGTTCCAGGCATGTGGCCTGCACATCGACGATGCCAGTATCATAGCGACCTTCCTTCTTTGCACCATTGACGATGATGTCCAGGTGCTCCTGGTACCAGCTGAACAGCTCAGACTGGAAAGTGGGTACAATCCCCAGCAGACGGTTGAGGAAATGGGTTACATTGGTGCGATCAGGATCGGGGATGCAGCCAAACTCCGGATCAGGTTCTGCGATGACATCAGCCGATGTTAGAGGAAAACACAGATGCTCCAATGCAGTGCGTATCAGCCACACACAGGCAGCATGGACATTCACAGAAACCGTGTGTGCACTTGGGAACAGGAATCCTGCATATGACAAGCCAGGACATGCCCATCCACGCATTGCTGCAAGGAAATCACCCACAGTGCCCATGCTGATTACATCAAAGAAATGCGATTCCACGATGCACACCAGCTGGATTCTCTCACTTGAGAAAGGAAAAATGATCGCTCTTACGACATGGAAGCATGAGTCCAGTGGTGCACATCCATGCAAGCTGATTGACAACAATGTCAGCGACTCTTATCTACACAAAACGCCAATTGCATACTTTATCTGCCACATGATCAACACTTCCCCAGCCCCACGTTGACTGGCGATTATTTGTATTCCCGCTTTCTGCACTTTGCAACCAGCTTTCTTGAAGATTGTAGTAACCAACACTGTTGTGCAAGATGGTAAACACCACACATACTTGATATGGACCCTACATACCCTGCATTCATCTTTCACTGGGACCAGGTAAGCTCCTGAACTTGTGAATGTGATGCAAATATTCGGAACATGGACGAAAGTACCAGGCACACAACCATGCACACAGACACATACATGCAACATGGCTGTGTGCAGGTCTGTCTTAAATGCATACAGTTGAAACTCAAAAACAATTCAAAGGCTGAACCACACAAGGCCATGTGTCTCCAGGTATTAAACTGCTTGTGACTTGGTAATCCAATGAGCTCATAGATGCCCACAACAGTTACAGGTCACAATTGCCCTCTACAGAGACAGCCAGCCACGCACAGTCACTCAGCAGTGGGTGCTACCAGACACAATGCGTTAGTCCCACACAACATAAGCCCTAATGCGCTGTGACTGCAGCTCTCAAACCGCAAGCTAAGGAACTGCACTGTATTGTTTTTGGCCGGCCTATAACCAAATTGATGCTCTGTTTATCAAAATCGACGCAGTTGGTCACTCCTGTGCAGGAGTCCAGGGACAGCTCAGACGGTGACGTGGGTCAATGACTGTATGCTATGGTTTGCAGGCAATGGAAACAATGCAGTTTCCTCCATTACTCTTTGGCCACACAAATAGAGGGAAAATCTTCAGCATTCCTCTCAACCACTCAGTGAAGATGTCACCAGAAAGGCAACAGATTTCAACAGATTTCAAGATTTCAACAAATTTCAACAGATTTCCCTCAAGCACACCACCCAACGTCATGAGGCACAACAGGTGGCAGGTCTACAGCCTGTTAAAATAACTGGGTGCTCTTGTCTTCTCAAGTCCCTCTGCATGCACTGCAACTTAGGCTCCTGGTGATTCACCTCTGTTCCTCTCGCCGATGTCCCTGAGCAATACTGCCGGCTGCTCATTCATCCTGGGCCTAGGTTTGATGATCCCAACGCTGAAGAGCTGGCGCCTCATCTCTGACCTGAACCGTTCGAGAGTGGGGTACCTTGCAGTAGGTCCACCTTCGCTGTTCGTCGCACACGATGGGACCACAATGGGATGGGATTCTTCCATAAGCGCCATATACATTGCATTCAGGGCCCGCCTGCCCCATGTGCTGTCATAATTGAAGTCACATATTTCTGGAAAACAGCACAAATTGGCACCACCTGGTGAGCTAGAAGCTCCATGCAACAAAAGACTGAACACCTCAAAGAGCTCTCCTTTCCTGACAATGGGCCCTTGGCTGAATGCAGACATAAACACGATGTTGGGACAGAGCGCAAAACAGCTACGAAAAAGCAGCTGAAACGGGGAGGCACAGGGGGCCCACCGAATGAGACACCAGCCCGGCGGTCCCCTTGTGTCAATGCTCCCAAACTCTGCAGACGACGAGCCACTGATGCGACAAATCTCTTTTCTCCACCAAGGGGAGTGAACAACAGCTTGTACTGTGGACAGCTGACTTGGTTAGACCGGTGCGACCGGCCAAACTGCTGGATGGCCTTCTCAGCACTCCATGGCAGCTCCAGAGTTAGATGCACCCTTCGGCGTTGATTCTTACAACGCCTGGCAACGATCAAAGAACAGTAAGTGAGCAAAGAAGTGCAAGACAGCACTAGTCCCCAGAAGACAATGCGAATGTAGCTGTGGTTGGAAGGTGAATGGGTATATGTATCCAGAGGACTACTACCCCACTAATCTTGCGAAACAATATGGTCCTTGGGAGTCTGTATATCAATGAACACAAACACTGTGCCTCATACTCTGGCACAGTATTTCTGGCTTTCTGCATGCCAAGGAAACGAGCTTGCAAATACCAGGTGCTGCCAGTACCATCTTTCAAATGCTGCCTTTCAGCATCTGCGAACACCGCACCTATCAGCTTGCAGCGATATTCCAGCAGAAGCAGCATCCGAGATAATGGCCACCAGCTTTCGGCCATTCATAAATGCCTGTTGCTCTGCCACATTGACGTTCTCCAGGGACTCACCCGACTCCATGCCACGGGACTGGTATGTCACCTTTCCCTTCCTTTGCCCATCTTTGTTGCGCACTAGACGGCACTTCCTGCCTGTCATCTCAGCAACCTTGCTGGGCCCACCCAGCTGGTCTATAAGCTCGTCCAACGGGTTCACGGGCATCTCAATGCGCTCAACAGTTTCCAGCAGCTGGGCAGGCCAAATGCGCACACACCAGTTACGGAGTTGAATAGCGAGGTTCCACAAACCACAAAGCATGGTTGCAAAATCAAGGAAACCAAACTTCAGGGATGGCTGACTGCACAATTACCTTATGAAGGATCTGCAGTCAAGAATCCAAGATGCATATTCAGAACAAGCCGGATCAGGTGTTCAAAGGAAGCGATGCATCAAGAGCAGGTGCAATTCAGAGTAAGTGTCGTTCTTCATTGCTGGTTACACGTTCTTGCATCCACTGGATACATCTACGCAGGACAGGATCAGAATTCAGTATGAAAATGATACTCGATGGGCTGACATTGTTACTGAGCTGAAGTCAGACCCACAGAAAATCTGGGAGGAGGGTACAGCTTATCTGCCATCTTGCAATTCATGGCCATGAATTATCAGTAAACTGCCACCATTTCATCAGCGCTGCTGCAGTCAGCTGAAACATATCAGCAGCAGCCAAGGCCCAAGACATCCTGCGCGGCCACCTTGAAGCCAGTCATGACAATGGTGTTGATCCAAGGCATTCACTATCAGAAACACCAATCTGGCGATGCCCACTGTGACGCCATTTGGACACAAGCCCTGCCATCACAGTAATTGCGATGGCATCAAAGTAACTGCGATGGTGTCAATAGTGCCGAACGTCAGCACAGTTGGCATCGCCAAAAATGGGTTCTCTGCTGGTTTTTGTGCCAGCACCTTACTGTTTGTGAATTGTTGCAAGCTGGCAGGCACCAGTTTGCAAAGATGAAGGGTGCATATACATACAAAGATGCATGACAAGCACCTTCTTTTTCCTCTCCATGGCCTCTGCAAGGAGAGCCTCTTGATGTGCATTCTTCGAATTTTGGCTGCGCTCATCCCGCAGTTGGCATTCACTCTGCTTTCTGCCATGTTCTTCGTCCACATCAATTTCAATCACGTCACTGCCAGTCTGAGAAGGGTGTTGAGAACGGTTGTTGCTGCCAAGCACAATTGCAGCTCTGCTACTGGATGCTTCTGAACCTGAACCTGCAAGCAGAGGGCACATCAGCTAAAAGGCACAACCACCAGTTCGCTGCAGCCAGACTGAACAATTTGACAGCGAATCCCACCTAAATTCAGTGCGGAAGTAAACTGCGCAGATCTGGGGCTGGTCTTGTTAGGCAATTGAGGCATCCATGAATTCCACAAGAGTGGCTGTGGGCCTGGTAAAAGTTCTCAGCCTGTGCATACACAACGATCTCCTGTTCACACCACAACAAACTTCCATTTTGTAGAAATACATGGAAAGTGACCATGCAAAAACAAAATGCCTCATTTTCAGATGTGCTGCCAAATTGCAGGACTGTGCTGACCAACAGACACTCAGTATCGACAGAACGTGCCTCTGGCTTCATCTTCCAATGATTCTGACGATGAACTGCTCTCCTCTGAGCTTGTTGCTGACTCATTAAAACTTGGGTCATCATCGTTGTCAGACGAGGTGGACGAACTAGCCTGTGGTCGATGCTGACTGCTACCAACCAACCAGTACTTTTCTGTTCGTTGAGGAGACGTCTCCCCTGAGGAAGTGCTCTCTCCAGAAGATGACTCTTCTTTGTAATTGACTTGTTTGTTGTCAATGCGCCGTGTGCGCTTGTGCTGTCGTCGCTTTGGTGCCTTGTCACCCTCTGCACTGCCTTCATCGCTGCTGGAGCTTGTCCTGCTGGTGGTCACAATGGACTGCTTTGCAATCTCCTGCAATCCATGTCAATCTCCATCAGAGAATGCTCATGGTCCCAACAAAACTTACTTGACAATTAAAGCATGTGCAAACTAGACAACAGTCCTACCAATGATTGAACCACAACATAGCTGCGAACTTCTTAGTTGCGACCTTCAGAGTTTAGGTCTAGAACATCGATCATAATGGAAACAGACACACGATCGCTCTGGCTTACTTCATCTTCATCAACGTCCTCAAGGGCTGCCATTTCTTGTGTTCCCTCCAACGCTGGCAGGGGATAGTGATTCTCAATGAACTTGCACAAGATTTCTTTCATGCCTGCAATACCAAGCTCAAGAAATCAGCACTGGAGACTGTCGTGCATCGACAGGAAGACTGGCAATGATACGATGACAACACATTCTGCAGTCGTGGATAGAAAAATGTGTGCACTTTTTGTTTGCAAAAGCCAACTGCAATGCACAGAAGACCAAGTACAGCAAGACAGAAAAGCTTGCTGGTCAGTGCCTACGCGAGCCAAAATCAACACTCTGCCATTGAGTACCCCCTAAGGCCCTGCATTCTTGCTAATCAGGTTGAGGGATGATAAGCATCAAACCTTTTAGCAAAACTGGATTGAACAAAAACAGACCTGGCAGCAGGGGGCTGGTTCTGTTGGTGCGAATGGACACCAACAAGCCAGCCAAAGCGAACTGACTGCTCTCATGCTAGACAGGTGTTCCTGCATTTGGTAGGTGGGGTAGATCCAGTTCCTGGCCAAAAACGCGCATGTATGCCCAGCGTACCTGCAAAATCTTCCAGTTCAGTGCCCCTCTCATTAACAATGTCTGAAGTGCGTGCCTCTCCAGTGGACTGCAGGCCGATGATGACGCATTTGCCATCCTTCAGTGCCTTCTCTGCCAGCCGGACTGTGGCTGGGACCTGCAGCAAAGCGGTAAGGTTACAACATCGACAAACATCCCTTGCGGTGGGTTGCTGACCTTGTGTGTAGTTTCCACAAGCCTTGACCCATTCAGGCCATCAACACAACAGTTGGTCAGGTTGAACCCAGTGTCACAGCCTGGATAAGAACAGTCAACGGGTATGATTTATATCGCACCAGTGGGTGTCAGTCCCAAATACAATCGCCTTTGTGCTAAGGATACAATGCTTAGAGAATTTGGATGGCACTGAAATAATCCAACACCATCACCCATCGTGCCTCCACCAAGATGGTGGTGTACTCGTCCACACACCACCCACTTTTGCCGCCATGCACAGGCTCTTGAAGAACCTCTGATGAGCTCCCCAAAAGAAAGACCAGTTGAATTTCCGGTTCTTGTCCTCAATGTTATTCCCTGTTGGCTGTTGGTAGCGGTCGATGGCGTACAGAAATTCCTTGTACAGTCCACTCACCAGCTCACAGGACCTGGGCACAGAACACAGCAGCACTGTTTCAACATCTTCATGGTAGGTAGCTGAATGTTGCAACAACTGTTTCTCAATATCCTGTTGGGAGTTCTCAATGCAGTGGATTGGTATTGATTGCTTTGCTGTAGCATCGTCCGCCAGTGTCTCCCTTATGTTCACCCAATGACCACATAAACAACAAGAGTGAGCTGGCAGCATGCCAGTGCACTTTCCCAGGGCAGCTTGACTTTGATTTCTTTTGCTGTCTCCTCACTTTCTATACACATCCTTCATATCCTCCTCCAAGTCAACTTCACAAATCTCAAACTCGGCCTGAGCAAAACTCAGCGTGCGGCAGAGATACATGCCCCTCGATTTCATGTCCATCGCGACGAGTTCAAGGGCGCCAACACCGCGAGAGCCCACAGCCTTTACAAACGAGTGGAAGTCCGGAAAAGAGGGTGATGCCGGGCCCCAGAGCCCAAGACGGACCATGTATCCCATGTTCTTCAGTTCAGATGCCCCTAGCGCCAGGCAACCCTACGTCAGTGTCAAACAGAATTCTGTATGCAATCGATGACAACTCTGTACAATAATCAGACAGCAATTCTGGGCCCAGCAGGACCAGTGTAAGACATGTTTCAGCTGCAAGCTCAAAAAGGTCAGCAGTAAAGAGGACATGCTCGTGGTGAGCATTGGGCAGCTAAAGCAGGACATGTGCAGGAAGACAGCTAGGATGTCTAAAACGCAGAGTTGCACCAAACGGTGGGTGAGCACTAAGAATAGGATCTGCAGTCCAGCAGATAATGAGCAGTAGACAAAGGCACACAAAATGATCTGAAAGCGATTTCAAAGGTAGACGTCTGACCAGTTAGTGTGTGACATAAAAGTGGGCACATAAATGCCCATTTCCAAACATTGATAAGGCTTGCTGCAAAGTGGCTTTTTGTTGCAAACCTGTGGCACTGCAGTACACTACACGGCCATCGGGTAGGTCCTGCTGCAGCCTCAAGACGGCCTTCCCTGTCTTCGTGGACTTGTCCATCATTTTCGGAACCAGATTTTTTGCCTTGTGGCACTCGTCAAAGACAATGAGCCCATCGAAGCCCTCACCACACCAGTCCAGCAGTTGCTTCAGTCGAGTGTGTCCCTGAGAAGCAGCCAGCACCACCAGGGTCAGTGGTTGCTACCTAACCTTCCATGCACAGAGCCCACTTCTGCCACAGGGCTACACTAACATGATTACACTGGATTCTGGGAGATGTGCATCATACCTGACCAGCCAAACAACCACAAGAAAGATGCACGACAAACTGGTGGGTCACATTGAAGCAATACAGGCATTCACTGCCCTCTGGGAAGCAAAAAGAACAATCTTGATTCTTGTGCGCATTGCTGAAATCGTTGAACGTCTGCTCCTGCATTCGAGTGTGCCGATGACGTTGACAACAAACCAGTTAGACTTCCTTATGACTGAGCAACACCACATCAAGTACATCAAACCTTCAAATTCGAATTTCGAAGTCTTAGACAAGGAGCTCCAGCAACTGTGATATAACTGCAACATAACAGGCAGTTCACTTAACAGAGGAGTGCAGAGCTCTGCTATCCACAACATGTTGGGAATCAATTTCAGAATCAGGCTACCAAAATGTAAGACTTCAGAAGGCTGTGCGATCGTGGCTGGAACACAATGCAGTTCCATGATGATGTCCGACACCAGTGTGTAAAGAAGTTTGGGGCCACAGAAAGGTGGGTACATGAAGCCCAAGTCACAAGAAACATAACACACCTTGTCATTGGCTGCAATCAGCGTCGAGTAGGTCACAAACATCACCCCTTCCACCAAAGTCTTTCCATTACTCAATTTCAGCTTGCCATATGGCATTTTAGACAGTGCGCTGAGATGGATGTCACTGGCATGTACATCATCGAGATCCCTCCTTGCATCATGCTTCAAGTCAGCACTGATGGATACCCACACGTGGCGCTTACGGCCAGCCTTCCAGTTCTCAAGGATCATTCCAGCGATCGTGCGGCCCTGAAAGCAAACAGAAGTGGCACAAACTACAGAGGAATGCGCATCAGCTAAGCTGCCGCCACAGCACAAACCTCACCAAACCCCAAGTGCCAAATGAAGTCATACGCAAACTATTCATGGCAGATTCACAGCAAAAGACAGCTACACAGCCCCCTTGCACAACCATTGAAGACAGTTTTTCACAACACTCAAATTTGAGTATCCGAGTGCCAAGTTTGAACCAGAGCTGAATAAAGCACAGCAGCACCGATCCCACATGACTTTTCAAGAAACTGAGAGTGAATCTCCTTTTCAACTCAAACACAAGCAAAAAACAATCACACAACACCTAGTCTGCTCAGTGCACGCAGGGCTTCTTGTACTGGCTGCACACAAGTGCTCCCTTCGGGGAAGTACCGGACAGCACCTATACTGACAGACGATCTCACAGATTCACCACCCACAGCCTCCACCAACCTTTCCCACGCCCGCACCATCACCAATGAAGAATCCTGCTCGCCTCTTGTCAGGAAGGATGCGATCATGGCATTGACAAGCATAGCAGATGGTCTCCAATTGTAGCGATGACAGAACACCTTTCGATACCGCATCCTGGGGAAGGATAACAAACTAGTAAGCCACTCATGGGAGGTCAGTTGCACAACATGAACATGGTCTCTGCGTGCACACCTCATGGATTCTGCAGTGCCTTTCTATACTTTCAAAAGAGGATAACTTTGTGCTGCACAAGGCTTGGTAATTCGCAGTTCTCAATCTCTGACACTCAGAGCAGCTGACTGCCAGACTTGGTCACCACAGTGCCTAAATCATGGCAGCACACTGTTCTCTAAGCTCAACCACAGAAGTATCTGACTGCCAAGACAAAGAAAACACAACTCAAAAACTGCCGTCGCCCCCAGCCTACCTGCATTCTAAGTTTGTGCGTGATGTCTGGTGGTTCAGCAGCAGCAAGTGAGGAAGATTCCACAACAGGGTCAGGGTGTGGCACACCCACTTTGCACTTGGATGGGGTGTACTCCTGATGCAACAATGAAGATCAGATGAAATGCATGCCCGCAATCTCAACAACAACGCATGAATACATCACACAGCTTGCCTCACAGGAAAAGGAGTAGTTGTGAAACTTCGGAAACAGGTACAGCAGTGTTGTTGTTGCTTTTGCTATTTCATTCCCAGCCATTCCAAAATTCAACATCACATCCAAGAGATTGCACGTCCCCCACAAATGAATACTGCCTATCACCACCCTTCAAGAAAATTCCAGCAACGCAAGGCTCTGCAAAGCATTGGTCATACTTTGCAAAACTTCAACATCAGAGTAGTTCATTACCCCGCAAGGAGTGGACAGGATAAGTCACAACTAGTCATATGCAGTGATATTTGATTCGTACAAAAACCATGACTGAACACTGAGCATACATCCCAAAATTGTTCCATCAATTTGCCAATTGGGGACTTCCCAAAATCCATTCTTGTTGTTGATTAACTGCTCGCATAGCTGTCCATTGTGAATGGACAACCACAAGATCGTCCACAAAGGATATACTGAACATGCCATTTGCTCAGAAGTTCATCACAACCACTGCATTGATTCCTTGTGCCAGCCACTCATATCGTGTCCATGCCAGGCATTTCCGCTTGGCAACTAGTTTGCCAGTAATGCTCACGATCAGCATTGTCCGTATGTTCGCAACACCTGAAAAGTGTCCCCTGCTTGACCCTCCCCATCCTCTTCCTCCTCTTCTTCCTCTGCAGGGTGGGTGCCAGGTGCTCCAGGGACACTGGGTGGCAGCCATGCCACACCAGCAGGCACGGTGCCAGGAGGAAATTGGAATTGTTCCAAAGCACCTCCAAGAATTCGTTGGCTATTTTCCAGAGTGGACAGACCTTGGGGCAAGTGACCCATTGTCCAGGTGCCCTGGCTTCCAAAGTTACCCTTCTGAGACCCACTTGTGTCGCTCCACCTGGGAAGGCCATGCATGTAGTTGGAGCGTTTTGTGTATGGGGCAGACGGGTAGTTGTATGGCGCCTTCCGTTTTGTTCCCACATGCAAATCCTGTGAGCCTTGTCCTTTAAGAAAGGCAACACGCAAGAACATCAAATGAGGGAAGTCTGCAGGACTGATTTCAAATTCAAATGGGCAAGAACAGGGTGCTGGGAGCAGGACAAACGTGCATTGGGGCAGGTACCCGGGTTGATGCACTGCTAGGGAGCTGGAACTACTCACCCTCACGCAGGTTGCTTCCGTTTCCAAGAACTCGCGCTGGAGGTTGGAGTGCTGGAGTTGGCACTTGTGGCACCGTGGGCTGTGAGAGAATGACAACACACCATGTTGAGCACTGGCCAATTGGAATCTGGAATACAAATGCCCTGGCTCAAAGATAATGTATATGCTCAGTCATTCCTGTACATCTCACAAAACTGCACTGGTCCAACACACAGCACTTGCTGCTGTTCCCATATCAATATAAATGAGCGAAACCATGTGCAGCTTTCTTCAACTTGATTAGACCCAAGAGCAAACCAAGAAGTGACAGAACTGCAAACCTGTATATGCTTGTGGTAGTAATTTTGCAAACACAAAGCCTGTGCAGCATTTCTTCCACCTGCCTGAGCTGAGGGTGCCATGTGCACCGCCAGTAGATCTTGCACACTCCGCGAGAATTCCTCCGAATCTATATTCTGGGGAACCTTGCAGGATGGGCATCTGAAGTATTTTGAACTGAGAAGTTTGGGAATGACATTCCAATCCACTGTGGACACAAACACGGCAGATGCAAGGATCAGTGGCAATTCCCTGCTGGGAGATGAAGGTGCTCGAATCCTGGTGGACTGCAAAACTAATTCCCAGCGGAATCAAACACTGCTACAGGCATTCGAATGTTGGAGTGGGGAAGAATGTGCTTAACATTGAGGGGGGAGAGAAGCCTCAAAGCCCACGTTCAGAGTACAGTCCGGACTGTTCTGAAGTCTTCAGGGATGGCCATGGACAATGCAATGGTCTTGGTATCATCGAACACCCGCCGCCTATCAAGCTCCTTGAGCAACTACGGCACTCAGATTCGAAAAGAGGATGGATCAAAGGACCTGAAACTGACCGTTGATTAATCGCTCACAGGAGCCGCAGTTGATGTTCACGCTGGGGCCCACTGCTCCATTCATGGCGCACTACGGCAGCCCGCCCCGCGGCCCTCGGCTGCAGGGCGTGGTTGAGTGATCTGGGCAACAACACGAAACGCCCACTCCCGTGGTCAGCACCTTGCCCCGACGTCAGGACGCGTGAATCCTGCACCTACTCCAACTGCAGCAAAAGTTTCAAGAACCGGGAGTGAGCTGGACTGATCAGACGACTGGGACCAAAAGCCAAACTGTTCATCACCAATGGCCACAGCATGCCCGCGATCGACCAGGGACGTCCACCTGCGGGGTGTTGCCTCTGATCGTCCCGTTCCAAAAATGAGTATCGGTTGCACGCCCAACCGCAAGGTTGTGTCCAGTGCTTGACAAGGTCTTCAGAAAGGCAGGAGGGAGAGGAGCAGGGAATGCGAGCGCTACGCGCACGAAAGCAATGTCCACCTGCACCTGGGCAACGATGCCCCCCGAGGAAAGACCCGCAGGAACGCTGAACGCGCCGTCGGCATGGCACGCTGACCTGGCCAGGACAGTCCCAGGTCCCCGACAGCTTCGGTCACCTGTGTCGCCCAATCCCCACAGCCCGCCTGGAGCAAACGCACACACAACCACCTGCGCGGGGATGTGACACCCCTCCAATCCACGCACCTGCTGCGGTCCTGACTACGACGAATCTACGGGCCGCCCCGTGTGTTCCGGCCGTGTTCCTGCCCGCAACCGCTGCGCAGGATAAAGGATTGGACGTGTGCTCGCGCTCTTGTGGCGCTTCGTCCAGATTTCCAAGAACGCGGCGTGTTGCCCGCCTCGGCTGGAAGAGGCGGGCCGGGTTGCTGGTGAGGTGAGGGAAGGTGAGTTGAGTCAAGGTGGATTCCACCGTCCACGCCAGTTCCGTGGAAGCTGCTGGGCACGAAGTCGTGCAACGTCCCTTCTCACCTCATTTCTGCAGCGAGCACGCCCAATCGTTTGAAGTTTCACCAGCACAAACATTATGCGCAACACGCGACAGAGCGGCAAAATTAAGGGAAATATAGTGCGCAACCAGAAATGCCCGAATTTCAAATGCCTCTACCCTTTGCTGTTCAAACTTCTTCAGATTTGGTCGCTACAAAATGATTTTGCAAACCCGCCGCATCCTTCCACAAATTCAGCAACAGCGCTTTTACATTACAAAGACAGCCTCCATCAGCAACCGAGGATTTCACGCAGCTGTTTTCCCCATTGAAACAGCCCCTAACTACTCCTGCCGGATGTCATCACCAACTCTTGGCAGCGATTGGGGCGATCATCCAAAGCAATTGACTTAGGGCACCTTTCTGCAATATACAAACAAAAAGAGCCAGAAATTTTACTGATCCCAAGCCAAAGCGCAATCATTTGACTGATTTCTTCCACAGCTCTGAACAGAGGCTGACTCAATGATGGACGAGTAAGAGGCTCCCTATGGATGTGCACAACAAACCCTCGCAGCCACCTGGTGCCTCTTGAAACTGTACCAGCACTACTTCCAGTGTGCCCTGGAACAGTACCAAAGTCAAGCCACAGGTTACATGCTGTCAGCGTCAGTGAATCATAAGCGTCATTCCCATGTCACTCTGTGCCGTCGAGCCAGCCAAATGAGCTGACGGCGCACCAAAAGTGACCGTGGGGTCCATCTCTCTCGCACGGTAATCTTGAGCTGCGACACGCACAACACACTGCTGCCAACACAGTACCAACACAGTATAGGTGCGGTGTACAAACAAAGCCCAATGTGCAAATACCACTTTGAATAGCGCATTGAGAATCCTGAAGTAACTGAGTAAATCAACCCACAGGCTACAACAGGTTACAGCCAATACCGCCGTTTAGGTAGGAGAACATGTCCCAACAGGCATGCTCATGCGGCAGTGTCCGCAGTTATTGGATGGAGAAACGTTTGTCTTACCAGAGACAAGTTTTCACGCATAGGACAGAGGTCAAATTTGAGCAACACCGGTGTTGCTCCCGGTACCGGAGCCAGCCTGTGGTGCATGTGCAGGGAAAATATAAATTCCGCGCATGCGATTCGCGCACCCTTGCTGCACAGTATTGCACCAAGAGCAAGCCTGTATCGATCCAAGCGGGGTTTGGTCTATGGACCCCGTGACCCATCTGACGGTCAGGTCCTGACCACGCTTCAATTCTATTCTTTCCCCGTCCATTCCTATTTAGCGCAACATTGCTAGTATAGAGCGATTGCGTCGAAACATACCGATCATGAATCTATATCCTCCAACGGGGCTGCCAACCACTCCACTGGGTTCCAAACCTCTTTTCTGGGCACTTACGGTTTTGACAGTAGTCTACGTGCAACATGTCTTTCCGAAAGGTGGGGGCCTTGGGTGGGAAAGTTTTGCGCACATTCCTAGCAAGTAACGTTGCCATCCCCTTCCCGCGGAAGGGTATATACATATTTACCTTGCGCAGGGATCGAAATTGGCGCAAGGAGGTGTCACTGTCTATGCTGATACACTTATGAAGGAATTGACTCAGTGCGCACTGGTAGAGATATTTGTAATGTCCAAATTGGTGTCTAGAACTGGCATAACATAGGCAAAGGTAAGATATTCGCCTTCATACACTGAAATCGCGCTTTGAGTGAATTATGGGCTGCGCACGAAATCCAACTGATTTGGGGAGCATATGCTTGAAAATGAATGCCACAGCCACTTTCATCTGCCCGTATTCTGTTTGATCAACGCCGACCTATCTGTTCTGATCCCGAAGAGAACACCATCTTCGGATGGGCAGAGTGCAGACACTGGTGTGCAGCCGCCGGATGAGATTCCCGGCGCGGCTGCACGGACGCCTGGATCCAGCGAAATGTCTCTGGAGGTGCGTTTTATCATTGTGCTCTGTGGGTTTGGAAATGTCACAGCCCTATGTGCACCCATGGGTATGTGGCGCCCCGCGCGTTCATATCCATATCCAGTTACCAATCACTTCTATCCTATGCCGTTGCTCATGTTTTCCATTAATTTAGAAACAAGGTTTTGGAGCGTCAATGAAGTCAGTGAGTAGTTCCACAAACGTAGTTGTTGATGTGCTGCATAGACCACCACAATGTGCAAATTCACCGATGAAAAATAGGATCCGCGGATATTTTAGTTTAATCGTGCATCTGAAAATCGTGAATGTTTTGATACGCTCTGGATTTGATAACCCTGCATTTTCATATCTGAGGCGTCTAACCAATCCTTAACAAATGAGCTGCAGCTTGTATACAAACATCCAACATCTGAAATAATGATGAGTGACTTCCGTGCCTTGTGTGTTCGACAGCACAGCCCAGAGCCTCTGCAGATGTGTACATGGTGTGTTTGGCAACCCCTTTACTCTGAAAAATAACGAAAAATAGTGAAAATGATAGAGCCGTTCTTCTGCTCAGAACTTGGGTGGGACACTTAGTTCGCAAGGATCTGAACATTGGAAGATTGCCTGCAAATGTGGTGATTCAAGAACAGCACTTGCATTGCAGCTCCGCTTGGGAAGCGGACGAGGGCGGCGTGCTGCGATTTGCAATATTTGTGCATTATGAAGTGCATCTTATGTTCTGGACACCATGTTTTCACTTCGCGCAGAAGCAAGCTCTGTGATTTGGTTCCTGAGGTCCATGAGAAATATGCAGATGACTGCAGCTCAACTTTCAGGGCATAATTCCACAGCAGGCTAGTCATGCAGAACAGGACACGCAATTTTCTTCCTGCTGCATCAGGATTCTTGCCATCTCACCATCCTTGTGGTTGTCGGAATTTATTTCCCCAGAGTTAAGACAATCAGAAAAAGTGTGCCGTTTTTGCATCCGATAATCGACTAAATTGCAAAGTACATTGCAAATTATCGTTCACCGTACATGATACAATGATGCCCGACATTTGAGACCCATTGAACGTTATTGAGTTGGTGAGCTTTGCGTTACAAAGTTGTGGTAGCCACACTGCCAGGATTTAATTTCATTGGGAAATCGTGTTTTCAGGAGCTGATACTGGACAAACTCATATTATTGGACTACGAAAAAGAATTCTGTAGAAGGAGGTGAGCCATCGCATATCCAATTCCGCATGCGCTCAAAGGCAGTCGTATTGATGACATAAATGACATTGCTCATTTGCACCAATAAGTGGTGGAAATGGTCTCTTCTACCTGAAGTAGCGAATAAATGAACCAGCACTGGCGAGTCGACAAAGAAAAAGCACACAATGCCTCGGCCTATGTTGTTTTGAATTGGACGTCACGGATATCTATTATGGACTTGCCACTGGCAATGCTGTTGACTTTGCAATGCTCGGCGTTGTCTGAGACGGATATGTGGCTTCGAACTACCAGGCTTCGATAGGTGGTGGAATGAGCCCCACAATCGCATGTGGAATGGCATGTCATGTGTCGGGCTTAACAGATCTGGCACATAACTTTGCGCTGTTTTCCACAGGAAACCGCACAGGGAGAGTCTGACGCGTACGTTCTTTGTTGTTCCGCCGGCTTCGAGCAGCGGAGGCCAATTTTTCTATTTCGCGAGCCTGGTGAGAATATTGAAGTCGACATATTCCCATGTGGTTTCGGCCCATTCGCTTGCCAACAAATTTTCGGGTCTGCAGATGAGCGAAGTTTCCAAGCTTTGGGGCGTATGAAATGCATGTGGGTTGTCGCTTTCGCATGCACTTGAAATACTTGACTTGGCATACTCCATTGTGAATGCAACGCCGAATTTTGGCGAGAGCCTTGCGTTCCCCAAGAGTTCTGCAAATCGCAGCGTCATCCATCTGCTCTTCACAGAAATAGCGCCCGTTCTAGCAATCCAATGGGCAACGTACGAGCAACGGAAGCAGGGAATCGTTATCCTTGAATATTGGCGACTCATGCCAGACACCGCTTTCTATTTGCCTCCTGCGCGCATTGAACACGCTTGAGTCGATTTTCTCCCTCTTAGGTTGCATGGTTGCTCCAACTTCTGGGCAGAAAGGTCCCAGATCCCAAAGAGTTCGATGACCCCAACACGGTGTGCACGAATTTGA